TTGTTAATTATAATTATCTTGTTAATTATAATTAATCTTGATTAATTATAATTAGTCATTATTTAATTATAATTATAATTAATTTACTAATTATAATTAATAATTAATTATAGATTATAATTAATTTATAATTAGCTATAATTAATGTTAATTATAATTAATAATAAAAAAATGGAATGCTCGTACCCTCTTCCGCCTCGATCCACCGCCGGTCCCGAAGGTATAATCTAAACTCAGACTTCTGTCCTTGGCGTGTACGACGGGCCGGTAGACCACCTAAGCACGCCTTTAGTGAGCGTGGTAGGAGGGAATCCGGTCCGACGCCTACGACGAGGCGGATAGTCGCCTACCCTCTCGCTCTCTTACTTCGACGTGCGTGTCGAGCCGGTGGACCACCTAAGCACGCCTTTAGTGAGCGTGGTAGGAGGGAACCCGGTGCAACTCCTACGATGAGGTAAGTAAGCGACCCTCTCCCTTCTGTCTCGACATGCGTGTCGGACTGGCAAACCACCTAAGCACGCCTTTGGTGAGCGTGGTAGGAGGGAACCCGGTTCGATGCACACGACGAGGCCAGGTGAGCCTGGTGTACTCTCTTCTTTGCGTGGCCGGAACAATTCATAAGTACCCCCGGGCGGGGGGAAAGCAAACTGTTCTTTTCTTGTAACAGGTACCGTCAAAGACCCCATGCACGCCTTTATTGCGCGTGGTGGGAAGAAAAAATCACGGCCGCGGTCTCGAAAGAGGGCACCTACCATGCACGCCTTTAGTATGCGTGGTGGGAAGGCCCATTTTTCTCGTAGTTTTCCCCTAAACGGGGGAGACACCGGGAGGCTGCCGAAATTTCGGGTGAAATATTACTACACTTAGACCTGTTTTGAACTCAAAAGAACAAGAGCTTGGACTCAAATGAAAAAGGGCAGTGGACTTTTGAGCTTCATTGAAAAACGTGCAGAGGACCTGAACAAAATTCAAATGACTAATAAAGACCAAATTAAAATGAAACAAAATCAAAGTTGGAGCCAAATTCAAGTCATTTTGAACATAAAACTGAACCTGCAAAGATTCCAGAAGACTTCGAACAGTCATTTGAACATACACTCAGACTCAAATTCAAATTTACTAAGTGTGGAATACACTAAAATTTGAACAAGACCTCGACACGTATAAACAAAGAACGTAGTGGACTTTTACAACAGTCCCTACAAGATCGGGAGCATCGTACCTGCGGGAATAATAAATGGCCGTAGAATGCACGGGTATCCCTCCTACATATACTGTTGGAATCTCCTACTACAATTTCTACAAACGCCTGTTGATTGAGAAGGCGACGTTAGAGATCAATCGTCAAAGAGCCGCCCCTACAAGCGAGTACAATCAAATACCACCTGAGATTGGTGAAAGGTGGATTGATGCAAGAAACGAGGGTCTCCTACGAACATTCCTAGGAACTCGTAGCAAACACAACGGATCCTTACAAATAAATACGAGCCACTTGTGGATAACAACATTGGGCATATCGTAAGCACCATCGAACCACTATGGGCACAAGTATAACTATCTCCTACGACGGTCCCTACGAGGTCAAACAAGTACAATCAAACCACCTGAGATTGGTGACAGGTGGGCATGATGTAGGCAACAATGGGACTTCTGCAAGTACCTTCAGGAGATCGTAGTGAATACAGCGGTCCCCTGCAAATGGATACTTGTGGATAACAACAGTGTATTGAAAGTACAATGAATCACTGTGGGCACAAGTATGAATCCCTTACAAATGAAAATGAATACTTGTGGATAACAACAGTGCATTGTATAAAGAACCACTGTGGACACAAGTACAAATATCACCTACGACAGTGATGGTCAAAATCTACAAGTACACTGGGTACAAAGGCAGTCCGATGTACAAAAGGTACACTCCCTGACAAAATCAGAAAGGAAGTTTAAACAAATTAGAATCAAACTTCCTGGTGTTCCAAAATCTCTTCTTAGTTCTATAATTAAGAAGAAAACAGCTCTGGTACCCACAAATATCGGAAATAACAAGTCTGCTACACCGAAGATCCTGAAAGGAGTACTCCCCAAATCAGCAGTCATTGACTCCAAAGTTCGGTAAGACCTTCCCCGGTGATTGAGAAAGGGGGAGTCAACATCAAAATCCACGCCACCGGATCTGCAACACTGATACAAGCAGACAGAAGGCGTCTACAACCTACAATGCAACGCCACCGGACCAGCAATATCTATGCAAACGGGCAGAAAGCGTTTACAAAATATTTCAAAGTACCCCTGCACCTGCACTATAGTTTGTATATACATAGGTACACAATGGGGTACGTCTAAATCAATATAAAAATAACCCGCATGGGCCCCGGCGAGCGTGTTATTGGTACATACGTGACGTCTAGGGATGCTACGCGGGTTGACAAGTGAATTCAAGTTCGAATCCGATCCTTCTATACGGATCAATAGGAGTCGACAGGGTTCGAACCATGAAGCAAATATAAGGTTGTGGTGACCGGTATGTTTGTTTTAATGCATTCATATTAGGCCTTCAAGGTCTACAATCAAAAGAATTCACTAAACAAAAGGCATGAAACCTACGAAACCCGATCCTCCTAAGCAGGTGAATAGGAGTAGACAGGGTTCAAACTCTCAGATAAATATACAGTCACGAATGTGATCGGAATATTTATTTTAATGTATTCATATTCGGCCATCAAGGCCTAAAATCAAGAAAATTCATAAACAAAGGCACAAAGCCTACAAGAAACCCGATCCTCGATCAATAGCTTGGTCGAGTTGATAAGGTCCAATCGAATAAAGAAAAATGACCCCGAACACCCCGATGATGGCCGTGTTGAATGAAGATCTCAACCGGAGGGGTTCCAAAATAATTTCCAATGCCGTTCCAAATATCCAAAAACCCAAAAAACTCCACAGAAATCCCAAAATCCCAAAAATATTTAAAAATGAAATCTAATCATTAATCACTTAAAGCAAAATCCATCCACCCTCGACAACAATCTGCCGGGGTGGACAAATTCAAATAAACTCTAGCACACAAAGAGTCAAATGCCTAGTCGAAAATATCACTAGGATCCATTCTCAAACAATCTCTTGCCAGTAAGGACGTGGTACGTGTCCTCTAACCGGCAGTTTCGCCGCCAAATAGCACTGCAGGTAAACGGTTATGACCCGGGCCCTCTAAACCGAGTGGTTTTGCCGCCAAATGGCACCACAGATAGCGGTTATGGCCAGAGCCAATACGCTCCTTAATGGCGTTAAATCCTTGAGATATGAATCAATAGGATATGATCGATAGGGCACAAAGCCCTCTGTTAGCTAAGGTGGATTCAAATTTGTCCCCTTAGACAAACATCCAACCCAGATCTACAAGGTTCCCTTGCACGAAGCAACCCATGGCTGCCGACAAGGATCCTTCTGTCAGATTGGGTCGACTACCTCCTCTGACTAAGTAGACCAGGGACCACGATGGCCCGGGACGACGGAACCATGGGATCTTGATTGGGCCCATCATCCATTCCCCCACCATCCGCTTTAAGTGCTAGGTGGTGAAATTTTCTATTTTAAATATCAAAATTTTCAATACTTTCCGAATTCCCAAATCCAAATCCAATTCTCCAATTCCAAATCCATGCTGCTACTATATGCCAGATAACACGTATTCTATACGTATCTAATTGACGACTAGCCTTAATCGAAAGTTCTCTCTCATTATTGGGAGGGGTAATTAACTATAGGGGCTTGCGCCTATAGGAAACTAGAACTCAGATCATAAAGTCCTCACAAAATGAGGGCGAAATCTCTGGGTAGTGTCTTATCTACAAACTCATCTCCCTTCCAAAATTTACCTCGGAACTTATTAGCTAAAACTCCCTCGTCGAAAAAAAAAAAAGAACAGTGGGCGGAGGCCGGGGCCGAATTTTCGGAGCCCACATGATAAAATTAGTATAATAAAATTTGGAAGAAGAAAAAGGAGTAGACATAAGGTTATATGGATAGAGATTGTTCAAAATGATTTACAAAGGAGGTTTAAACCTCACAAAATACACAACTGATAGTTGGAAAAAGGTTAATGATGATGATCATCATCATGAAAAAAATTATAAAGAGAAGTACACTGAAAGATAAGTAAAAGGTTAGAAAAAATTAGTAAGTTATTCATCTTACTTAACTAACATCTTTCATATCCCAAATACATGCAATCTGATGGCGCAGAAAAAAGTTTTAAAGCTCCAATACGTTCAGAACACATCCAATAATACATTTCCATGATCAAAATTTCCATTTTAAACAAAAATGGAAAATATGTCATTCCATATTTTACTTATTTAGAACAATTTCTCAAAAAACGTTGCTGAATGAAAATTCAGAAAATAAAACATCAAGAGTCCTGGTCAAATTCGGACTAATATCAATATGTTTCCCACATTATCTGTGTTCACATTGAAACAAAACAAAATAAAATAATTAAAAAGAGCTAAAACTGAAAATAATGCCAGGGCCTAAATATTTTACTACTTTATTTTAGTCTATGGATGTTTTGCAATAGTGGAAGTTTCGAGGCAGGATATCTTTAAATAAAGAGGCTGGAGAATTCAGGTCGTGTTTAGACCCAAAAACTAATAAGAAATTAAATTTAAAGCTTTAGTATATTTCAATAGAAAGATAGTTAAGCAAGGGAGAAATGCTGCAATGATATTCCAAATAATGGAAAAGATTTAAAAAAAACGATACACTTTGTAGAAAAATTAAATAAATTTGGTTACAGAATAACAAGATTTTCCTAATTCAGAAACCTAGATTGTTATGCATTTTAGAAAAGCCTATTGTTTCGTTATAAATTATAAGATTCTATATCAATAACACCAAAACAAGAGGTAGCTTTCCAGGGCATAAATGTTTCAAAAGCATACAAATCTCAGACATATCGAGATACATTTAACTTAGGTCACAGCAACAATGTAGTAGCTCACCATATGATAAATGGCTTGTCCAGCCTTGGGTCCCCAGTAGGAATAAGCTCCTATAACAAAGTTGTATGCTATATAGCCTGGAAAGACATGGATCTTCTCTTAGTAAACTCATCATAATCTAGGTATAGCAAACAACGCAAAATGCAATATTATAAGGATCATTTTTAAACAATTATTAAGAATTTCTAGTGCTTAGATGTGAAATTTGATGCTAAAAAAAGGTATTGGAATTTTGTAAATGCATTGCACTATACAGAAGACATCCCTCCTAAGTTTTATGTCCCTAAATACGAAACAATTAGGCGCACTGTCAGTGATGTAATATTAAACTAAAAACATTAGATGATGAGGATATGGCCCCAATAATCTTCATAAAAATAAACATCTTATTCTTAAGCATCTCTGAACTAATGCTGAAGATCACTAATGTTTGATATGTGAAATGTGTTGCTTAAGAAAACACAATTTTTGCGACAGATATCTCTTCATAGTATTACCAGCCTGAAAATAACAATACGATTATTGTAATATTATGAGCAATGTAATGGAAAGTTAAAAAAGGACAAGTATATGACCTTAATAACCTTCATTTAAAAAAAATACACCAGGAAGAAGGATTGCCAAAATTTTATGGAGTCTTTAATGTAAATCCTACCAGAAAAAACTCAAACGGTCTTGAACATACTTTTTGAGATCCATTCGTTTGCATAATGCTTAAGTAACCGAGTAATTTTCTCGCTCATGGTCTTTTAAAAAGAAATTGCAAAAGGACAATATAGAAACAGGTCATGCACGACAATTTTTAGGGAAACAAAGGACCGCATATATATGCACAACCCAACACTACGATTTGTCGTGGCAAATAGTAATGAGTGTTTTACATGTTTGTTAACTTCGTGCTAGATAGTCTGAGCTTATGGCCACTGCCGTAGCAAGTTCATGGGCTATAAAAATGATATTCATGAGAGAATGAACTAACTAACAGAAAAAGGTTGGCGTGATCTCAATATTTTTTCCATAAGAAAAATGCAATGAACAATTATTTATGTTGCATGTTGGTTGTTTCTAGAAAGAGATGTAAAAGAGAAAAAAACAGTTAATTAGCAGGTATGTCAAATTGTAAATGCCTTAACAGCTCATACAGAATTGTATAATAGATAAAAAAAATTTCATTCACTGTTTGAAGTTCGGCAAATCCACGAGTTTATCTTATAGGAGATGAGTCAATTTGGCACTAAGTTAACGCAGACAGAAAATTCTGGGAAAATGCAACAGCTAAGTCAACTCAAAGCATCGTTTATTTAGGTATAACATTGTGAGAGAGAGTACCAAGAACGTTTATGACAAAAACTTTTTCCCCCAAGAGCAGCTTCATATCTCTCAGAAATCTAGTATTTTGAGCCAAAAACTTCTGAAAAATCACAGAGCTGCAAGAAAGATCAAAAGAGAAAATCGCCATTACAAGGAACATGATTATCATGAAATGTCAAATGCACCTGCGACTAAAAATGAGAAAGACAACATGAACAATGGATTGCTAAGAAAGCAGATTAACGCATAAAGATCAACTCCATACAGCCAAAAACTAAAGCTTCATTTCAACCCCATCACACCTGTTTTAATTTTTAAGTACATTCAACAAGTGAAGTGTGTCAATAAATTGATATTATACCTCAAGGACCAGAAATACAAAAAACACTTTGCTGGAATGATTAGCTTTTCTTGATATATTTTATTTATTTCCGTTGACTTTGCATTGATAAAAACTAGTGAATTAATGACAATTTTAGGCCCCACTAGGCCCCCGTTGGTGTACACAAGTACGTGGGATTCTAATAAACTGGTCCAACCAACTGTGCTAGCCCTTGGTTTACAGCAGGCGGAAGCCCCCCCCCCCCCCCTTGGGGTGTGGTCCACGGCGGGGGCTGATTACTCTTTTGGGGATATTATTATATATGCTTTAAGTAGAAGAGTCAAGGGTGTGGTCCACGGCGGGGGCTGATTACTCTTTTGGGGATATTATTATATATGCTTTAAGTAGAAGAATTTGCATTAGGATTAGGGTTATCTTGATTTTGTTGAATTCTGTTGGTACTCGAGTGTTCTTGGGCTGTAGCGACGTCTAGAAAGTAGGAGAGATAGATCCTTCTCTCAAATTGAGGATCAATTGTATCTTGGCATTTTCCTTCCATTTTCATCAATTATTATGTTGTTTCTCTGTTTTTTTTCTTGATTGTTGGGAGAATTGTGGTGGGAGATCGTTGAAACTCCATTATTGATAAGTGGGACTTGAGTTCTACAAGTGATGCCTATCAGATTCCCTTTATCTGTTTGTTCATGAGGTTTCTACTCATTGAGTCCCCTCAGTGAGCATTCAACATCATTTGCAAGATGAAACACTATGGTTCGATCCTCTTAAGCCAAAATGGGATAATTACATTAGATCCCCCAACAGTTCTTTCCTGAGTCTGCAGAAAGTGCCACAGGCAGAGAAGTGCTCAAATTTCTCAATAAGAAAAGCTTTAAGAGAAAAACTTATACATGATTTTAAATATCATAGAAATAATAAAGACCAGAGCAATGGCAAATAGTATATTACAATTCCTGTCAATAATTACCCTTAGCATCTCTAGATAAAATGCACAATGCATTGCTAAGAAAACAGATCAATGCATAAAGATGAACTCCATATTGCCAGATACTACTGCTTCATTTCAAATCCTTATACTTTCAGTTTTTCAAGTACATATACAGGAAAACATTATTTATAATTGAACTAACCCTGCTAAAAAAATTAACATATTTCAAAAGGTCAAGTGGAATCTACATAAATTACTGCAAGGAGAGCTCAAATTTTCAATAAGAAAAAAAGTTAAAATGGAAACATTGCCCATGATTTTAAAGTGATGATGGAAACTAGCCAAATTGCAATACTAGATTATAGTTTCTGTCAGTAATAACCCCTTGCATCACCAGAAATCATGCAAAATGGACTGCCAAGAAAACAGATCAATGCATAAAATCAACATGTACGGCCATATAAACATATTATATTGCAAAGATTTTGAATGAAAAAATTGATGACATGTATACATACATAACAACAATAATTTACCATTATGGCAATATTAAACCTATGGGCTAATTATGGTTAGTCTAATATAGTAATGGAGGCTATGCACTCATCTCTCCACACCAGCAGCATCACTGGCAGGAAGTGAGACTTTAGTGTGCCTGCACATCAGCAGCAGCATACAAGGATAGATTTTATGCAGGACATTGACAAACATTTTGAATTTTTTTTTTTTTTTTTTTTTTTAATATGATGCATGCTAAAGATACGAAATTTTAGATAAGGATGCATCAAAACGTCGGCTACGGATTAAAATTTAGAAATAATATAACATACCAGGAACAATTCCTTGATTCTGTATTGGTTCTTCTGGTATCATCATAGCTAACTGATGCTGCATGTTTTGAATTCTGTTCACCTGCGATAAAAAGGGTCATAATTTGAGGAAAACAAAAAGGATTAATCTCATGTGGTGTCATGAAGACAACAATAAAAACAGAAGAAACCATACTGTGCATAGCTCTAAATTCTCCATTAGGACTAATACAAGTTGCAAAGATATAAGTTATCTACTTTACGACTACTGAAATTGTTACAACTTAATCAAACATAGTGCAGATGTCCCTTAAAACAATAGCTACAGAAATTTGAAGACTCCGGAGAACACATTTTTGTTGTAGAGTTAGGCAATATGTGGCAACTAAATTTTGTTAATTCAGTAAATATTTTCAACATGACCCATCTGGCATAAATGTAAGAGAGGCAGCCCAATCTAAACTATACATAACATTACTATTTCTTAAACAGCATCAAGTGTTAATAACTTAGATTAACAGCCTACTTGCTTTAACTTGTAAGTTGTAACATAGGCTACATAAATCTCCCGACTGATTTGGCCATATATTTAGGTGTTATATTTGACAAAGCAATATCATGAAGCAACAAATTCAGTTAGTATCATTGTAAGCACCCATGCTTTAAGAAGCCATCATATTGCAAAGACTACTAAATTTATGGGCCCGTACTGTATTACATAGCATGAAGAGATTATAACATCCAATAAAATAGCTTTCATCTGAAATTACGACAAAGGATGATTATATGTAGTTGCATGCACATCACAATAAATACTTTAGCCCGACGAAATGAAAAATAATGGCATTCTATGATTTGTTTGACAAGAATCTGTATTATTTTGTGCCAAGGTGTGATGACAACAGGCAGAGAAAACTTAATTTATTCAGTCCACAACATATGAGCAGAGTAAAATCATTATTATCTAAGAAGATGTACCATCTGCAACATCGATTTCACCCAAGACTTTCTCCTTATTTGGCTTTGACGAAGAAAAACCTGAAAATTCAACTTTTTAATTCACAAGAATTAAGATTTACAACTATGGGATAAGTACAACTAAAAATCATCACCTTTCAGCTGCAATGGCTGTATAAGAAAGCCAAAAATAGCAAATGGAAGCATCAAGAGTGCCTCTCCCCAGAATGCGTAACGCCAATGGAGACCATTCCCTACCTGAGTTTAGAAGTAAATCAAATAAAAACTGATAATGCTCATATAATAAACCAATACATGATATAAGCACATATAATCTAGTTCTTAGGATGCTAAAAAGAACTATAAATGCATAGCTATGTCGCACAATTCAAGAATCTTTAATGTTTAATGTAAAATTTACAGTTGGCTAGTGATAGCAAAGCTAAAAGATGCTGAATGGATTAGAGCACAGTTATGACTTCACCTAATTTAACAAACTTGGCAGTTCTAAAAACCTGATATATATAAGCTTATATTAATATACAAGGTTAAGAAATGGTGACAGCAATATCATGAAGATTGGAGGGCATCTGATAAGATGTGTTGAGATTCATGGATAAACCAAATTAAATTGATCCAAAGCTTTTGGCAACAGCAAGCTAACAATTAAAGTAGAACGATCTGTGTAATTGGAATGGTGCAAAAAACGTTATAAGGTTGATATTACTGAAGATGACAGAAATTGGCACTTTGCGGAATTAGCTCAAGTGGAAGAAGAAAACATTAAATTACATGGAAAACTGATGCAATAGTTTGCTGCAAATTAATATTATTTTTCCTTTCTTGTGTATTTTCACTACAACCAAAAGCATCTAGACGGAAAATATCATCACGGTTAATTGGCTAAAGCAACATCAGCGGTCAAGCTATTGAGAAGGCTAGTGTGACACCTTCTTAAAGCGGATAGTGCTCAATGAAAAAATATAGTCAAGATAGAAGTGGGGTAGGGTGCTACAGAAGCATGTAATAGGAAGTCTTCAAAAAATGTCATCAATGCAAATAGAATTAATGATGATAAAAGCAAGGTGGGATCCTAAAAAAGGAAATAGAGGATTACAAAGTCAAAGCAATGCACAAGAACAAAGAGGGATTCCGGCCATGACTAGTCAAGGAGACGAGAAAGAAGATAGCTCAAATGAGAAGGGGCCAATGATAGCTGAACTCAATCCGATGATGACAGATAACTCAAACAAATCTTTTTCCACTTCCATAACTTGAAACATCTATGGACAAGTAGAGTAAGCTATTAAAGTTCTGGAGGGTGCTATATTTGGAAAGGGGTGATCAAGGTAGAAATAGCTGGCAGCTAGAGAATTAAAGTATGAGAGGAGAAAAGGGGAGGGTAGAAGAATTGACTCAGGTAACCAGTTGGAGGGGAGAGAGAAACTGAGCATTGGCCAGCCACAGATATGAGAGAGAGAGAGAGGGAGGGAGGAGAGTGTAGGAAATGCTTTTTTAATAATACCTTACATCGTCAAGGTTCCCTTAAATATATATGAAGAAGCTTATAAAACTAATTACATGGAAATATAAATTAAATGAAATTATCAAGCTAAATAAAGTCAAATGGAGGCGTGACTCTGGACCTAAGAAACTGAAATATCATTTTCACATAATGGATCTATTAGGTTAAATAATTATTTTTTGATAAATGGATATAAAAAAGGCTCGATTCATGATTTGAAATCAATTCAATTGCCTTCCTTATCTTATGCCCTAACTTAAGGAGCTAAAGACCTAACAATACAAATATCAAGATTCAAGACAAAATCTTCAAAACACATCAGCAAACATCTCTTCCAAATAACACCTTTTATACTTTTTTCTACAAGAAAACTGTCCCAAGGGCTGTTTCTATGTTACAGGAGGCGGACAAAAACCGCCCCCTTGGGGGTTGCCGCCCAAGCGTAGTGGGCCCGACTAGGCAAGCCAATTAAGGAAGGAGTGGGGTTGGCTAGGAGAGGGAGGAAAAAGTTTGAATTGGGAATTTGAAATTAGGGAATTATGGATTAAATAGGAAGAGTTGTTTAGTGTTAGGGTTATGCATGTTTTGTGGCTGGTTTTGGGAGTTCTTGTCTTGGTGTCTTGGGCCGTAGATTTATCTAGGGAATGGGAGAGAAGATCCTCCACTCGAATTGAGGATCAATTGTATCTTGTTTTGTCTCTTTGTTTAGCTGATTACCTTCAATCAAAGGTGCTGTTTTGCTGAAATTTTCCATTCGAATCTTGTTCGTTTGCTGTTTTCATCTCTCTAGTTAGGGATTACTTGGATTTCTCAAGTATTCCCCAACAAATTTGTATCAGAGCGGATTTTGGGACCAATTGTGGGCTGATTTCTGAAAAATCAGCGGTGATTTTCGGCCGGATGAAGAATTTTTCACTGTTTTTTTTTATCAAAATTCATATTTTTTTAACCTACAAAAATTTTGGATGCCTGCCAAGAAGGTAGATGCATTGGAGGAATGTCTTGAAGGAGATATGAGTCAAATAAAAGCAACAGTGGAAGATAGAATTTCATCCCTAGAAGATAAGGTTACATCCGTGGAAGGCAAGGTTTCCGATCTTCATGAGATGGTGAAAAAGAAATTGGAAAATCAAATCCAAACGACGGCATCAGAGGTGAAAGGATGGCGGGAAGAGCAACAAATTCTGAGTTTCGTAGGAGGGATGATGAGGTGGAAATCATGAAGGAAAGAGGTGGAAGGTATGGAGGGAGGCATGGATATGAGGGGCATGAATAAAGGGGTGCTGGTTGGGGAAGAAAAGAAGGGGAATATGGAAGAAAGGATGTTGATTTTGAAGAAAAGATGGTAGAAAGCGAAGACGGGTTTGTGTATGAATGTAGGAGGGAAGATAGGGAGACTTGGGGAGGCCCAAGCACTACACAAGTTGGAAGGGATCTGTTAGGCTGGTTCACCCCGAAGATCTATCGTTTGGCTTTGCTTTGCTTCCACTATCATAATTTATCGTTTATAGTTTGATTTGTCCAGTTTTCTCACTGTTTTCGACCAATTATTGTTAGGGTTGCTTGCGAACTCAAGTATTTCCTCTTGGATTACTTGCGAACTCAAGTATTTCCTATCAGGATCATACTGGAGGAAGGAGAGGAGATTCCTCTTTCAATATAGCAACTAATTCAACAATTCAATGAGGTTTTTCAGCCACCTCAAGGATTGTCGTTATCAAGGGAGAAGAAGCATGCTATCACATTGAAGGAAGGTGTGTCACCCATCAGTGTTAGGCCCTACCGTTACCACCAATTTCAGAAGGATGAGATTGAAAGGTTGATTAGAGGGATGTTGGAAGCATGGATCATCAGGCTCAGTGTTAGCCCTTTTTCTAGCTCAGTGCTATTGGTTAGGAAAAAAGGTGGGAGTTGGAGGTTTTATGTTGACTACAGGGCATTGAACAAGGAAACGGTGCAAGATAAGTTTCATAAACCAGTGATAGATGAGCTACTGGATGAGTTAAGTGGGGCAATTATCTTCTCCAAGATAGATCTAAAGTCAGGATACCATTAGATCAGGTTAAAAAGAGAGGATGTGCCAAAAACTGCTTTCAGAACTCATGAAGGGTATTATGAGTTCCTTGTGATGCCTTATTGCCTCACTAACGCCCCATCCACCTTTTAGTCCCTCATGAACACGGTCTTCAGGCCTTACCTCAGGCGGTTTGTGTTAGTGTTTTTCGACGGCATCCTGATTTATAGCAGGATAGAGGAGGATCATTGGGAGCACTTGAGGAGGGTGCTATAGGAGTTACAGAAGCACCAACTGAGGGAAAATCTGAAGAAATGTTGCTTTTGCCCAGACCACTGTGGAATACTTGGGACACATTGTCTCTAAAGAGGGGGTGGCGGTGGATTAGGCTAAAATTGAGGTTATGTTAAGGTGGCTAATGCCCATAAATCTTACGGAGTTGAGAGGATTCCTAGTATTAATAGGATACTACATGAGGTTTGTGAAGGGATACAACACCATAGCATATTCACTGACATAACAGTTGAAGAAGGATGCGTTCTCATAGGGAGAGGCGACCACAGTTGCTTTTGAGAGCTTGAATAAGGTCATGATCACTGTACCTGTTTTGGCCCTACCAGATTTCACCAAAGTTTTCATAGTGGAGACAGAGGCTTCATGATATGGATTGGGAGCAATACTCATGTAGGGCCGGCGACCCATTGCTTATTTCATCCAGATATTGACAGCTAGGGCCATACTAAAATCAGTATATGAGAGGGAGTTGATGACCATTGTGTTAGTCATCCATAAGTTGCAACCCTACTTGTTAGGTAGGAACTTCATCATCAAGACAGATCAGCGGAGTCAGAAGTACTTAATGGAGCAGAGGATGGTGACTGAAGAGCATCAGAGATGGTTGACCAAGCTATAGGGGTATGACTTTGAAATACAATATATACTAGGCATGGAGAACAAGGAGGCAAATGCAATGTCCATATGCACGGGGAAGTTGCAAGTGATAGCAGTCTCGGTCCCGCTAATGCTAGATTGGGAGGCCATCAAGGAGGAAAGTGCACAGGATGAGGAGTTGGGAAGAATTAGGGCGAATTTGTTGAAGGAAAGGAATAACCATCCAGGGTATTCTCTAGATGGGCAGAGGTTGTTGTATCAAGAGAGGTTCGTGCTGCCTAGGACATCCGTCCACATTCCACACTTACTATAGGAATTTAATGGGATCGCAATTGGGGGTCATTCAGGGGTGCAGAAGACGTACATGAGACTTGTCATAGAGTTGTATTGGAAGAGAATGCACAAGGATGTGTAGGAGATGGTAGCTGTATATGAGATCTGTCAAAGGAGCAAGTACATGGTCATGTCTCCAGGAGGACTGTTACAGCCGTTAGTTTTACTAGAACGAGTGTGGGAGGAGGCATCCATGGACTTTATAGATGGACTACCCAAATCAGAGGGGCTTACAATTATCTTAGTGGTAGTTGATAGATTGAGCAAGTATGCTCATTTCATTCAAGGTGTTGTATGGAAGGGATCATCATCACTTAGTACATTTTGGCATGAAAACACCCCAGTTTCATTAGTATAGGAGTATTTGGAGGGGAGGAACCGGGTGTTGGAAGAATTAAAGAGGCATTTATTGAGAACCCAATAGATTATGAAGAAACAAGTTGATGGGAAGAGGAAAGATATCCAATTTGAGGTGGGGGAAATGGTATTCTTAAAACTCCAACCTTACAGGCAAAAGACCGTCGCCAACATGAGGAATGAGAAACTTGCAACAATATATTTTTGTCCTTTGAGGTACTAGAGAGGATAAGAGAGGTGGCATAAAAGCTGAAGTTGCCTTCAACAACAAACATGTGCCCTATTTTCCATGTCTCACAACTAGGGAGGGTGATTGGGGAGCATACAGCCAGTTTTGAGCTACCAGTGCCATTAAAATATGACTTGTAGGTGATGTTGGAACCCTTTGAGTTACAAGGGGTGCGTTAGGGAGAGGGGGGGTAAAAGAGGTGTTGAACTATTGATCAAGTGGAAGAATCTTCCAAATTATAAGGTGACATGGGAGCCTTATGAGAGGGTGAAGCATCAGTTCCCCTCCTTTCAACTTTAAGACAAAGTGGTTCTTTGGAATGGTGGTATTGTTAGGCCGGTTCTATATTACAAGAGGCGGGCAAAAACTGCCTCCTTTGGGGTTGCCGCCCAAGCCTAATGAGCCCACTTGTACTAAAATGTTGGGGTTGTAAATATATTATATGAAGAGTTCAAAGTGCATCATAATCGATATTAGATCCAATTTAAAGCTAAATAAATATGTATAAACACCATTAATAATATAGAAAACACTAGTAAAGATCACTTATAATACAAATACATGATTACTCGAAAATGAGCAATGGAACATATATCATGTCACAATTTACGAACAATTATTTGGTCCGGTGAACGTACGTAGAGGAACGTCCGATCGACACTAAAATCCCGCCAAAAAACTTGGTATTTGCTCGGTATTGCTAAGTATTATTTGGTAATAATGAGGAATAACATCATGTGAAGACCAAATATCGAGTTATACCAACCTATACCGAGCAATACCGAGTTATCCATACTAATCTTCTTACCCATTTAATATTTTTAAGTATTTAAATATCTTAATGACGTTAAAATTTACTTTTTAAATCCCATCATGTTCCAAATTTATACTATAAATTTACTATTAAAAAAATTCAAATGATACAAAAATCAATTCCAAATTTTTTTTATTTAAATACATACTTCCAACTTAATATTATAATGACATATCAAATACAATTATAATATAATTATTCATATAACTAATTTATTTAAAAAACAAAAAAAAAAATCTTGAGACAGATTTGAAAGTCAAACCGATCAACCCAACTAAAAATATTTGAGATTTTTAGTCAAATTGTAACTGAAAATGGCCTATGTGAGGAGCCACAATGGCCCCATATTGATGGTCTGCATAAACCCTAAATGATTATCCGTACTGATCAAAATTGGCAGAAGGCCAAAAGGATTAGCCGTACTAATCAATATCCAAGACGGCTAATTAATAATCAATCAAAATTATTAGTTTTTAATAGTCATTTACTAACCTATATGGACTATTGTAACTGGAAAATCATAATTAATTTTTTTAATAAACTGTAAAATGGGCATAGAAATTAAAGCGTTCATGTAATTTTTGCTAATTTAACTTGTCTCTTTGGATTCCAGGTATTAATCAATCATTAACCTCATACAACAGGAAGAGACCCCTTTATAAAGGTCTCAAAGCATGAAAAGAAAAAGACTCATATGCCCCTTGGGCTACAATAAACACTACGCCTACATAAGGGCGAAAACGTCACTAGTACATGAAAATAAAAGATACATGAAATAAAATAACATGATAACATCAAAAGTATAAGCTCCCGATCGTAGCCGTCGATCTACGATTCCTTCGCCGATAAACCTGCCTAAAATGTCTGTCGATGACCTCATCAGTAATCCATAGAGTCTAAACATTTTTATTTGAGTAGATCTAAAATCGAATACATTGAGTGTAATTTTAATAGTAATAGATCTAGTGGTGGGATTGTGATATAAGGTAATCAAGTCTTTAGAAAGAGTGCAGGTTTTAGATATTTCAAGTTTATAGTTCGAAGTTATGGTGAAATAGATGAGGATATAATTAGTAGAATTCAAGTTGGATGATTGAAGTGGAGCAATGCATCAGGCATGCTGTGCGATAGAAAAGTAACCCTCAAACTTAAAAGAAAATTTTGAAAGATGGCGATGAGACATGTAATATTTTATGGTGCAGAACATTGGCCATTAAAAGAGAAGTAAAAAATCAAATTACATGTTGCAGAGATGAGGATGCTCAAACGGATGAGTGGCTTTACACCTAGAGACAATGCGAAAAGAGTATATATGTGAAAAGGTTGGAGTAGCTCCCATGGCAAATAAGATGGGAGAGTCATCTTAGATGGTTTGGTCATATAAAACTTCGGCCTTCTGATGACTCTATTAGTAGAGCGTATGTATTAGATCCGACAAACATTAAAAAAGGTAAAGGTAGATCTTAAAAAACTCAATTAGAAAATATTAGAATTTTTTTTTTAGATTTAAATGAAAATTTAACTCTTAATATGCCACAATGGAGAAAAATGATTTATGTAGCCAACCACATGTAGTAGGTTAAAGACTTATTGTTGTTCTTATAGTCGGTATTGTTCTTGTCAAATGAAATATGCTCTAGTATGCCACAAGATAGAAAGTAATACATCATGGTTGATGCATAAAGTCAATAGAGTTAAACGTCTTTAATTAAATAAAAGATAATGTGAAATCATTCAAATAGACAATCAACAACCAAGCAACATATGATTAATGAAGCAAAGCAAATTAAACATATTTAGAAGCTTTTCACGCCAAAAGAAAGAAAGCATTTAAATGTTTATTTGTGAAAAACTAAGGGATGTGTCACAGTTTCACTAAAAATGTAAGTTATTACAGAAACTAACCACTCCACCATATACGTAACCAAGAGCAATTCCTGATGGAATGCACATGTAGAACGCTCCAAGCCAAGCTGTTTTCTGAGAGGATGTTAGTGTACAAGATTAGTAATAGAACAAAATAATATAAGTTTATAATAAAATCTAAAATAAAACATTTAAATTATATAGAGCCGAGAGAGATAAAACTAAATTTCCATGAGAAAGACGGGACAGCATTCTAAGAATATCATAGATTTGTCTAATTTGTCTAATCAAGTCCGTAAACTATCCTATGCACAAGTTTGTTGGAAAACAAGCACAAGCAATTTACCTAAGGTCTGATATTAGTAGCAGAAATAGTAATTGGTTAAAAAAAAAATTCACAGCTACATTAAAAGAATCAACTGAAGTAGGCCAAATATGAGCATTGGCGGAGCTACAGTGGAGGCCCTAAGGACATGGACCCATTAGCCCTTTCTGTAAAAGCCCATAACATAACCAAAAAACATATAGCCGACAACAAAGGTGAAATATGTGGGATTCGAACCAGACACCTATATTCTGTGAACTGACATTACCACTGGGCCACAAAACTGTTAGGGCACCTATACCTATTATTTTTTGGTTATATTGTAATTAAATCTCACATTACTCCCATATTCTCCGCTTCATCTCACATTCGTGTGTGTTGTATATAATTTTCTATTTTTATAAAACTAATACTTAAATATTTAAGATAAAATAAGGTAATTATAGGTTTGTGTTTAATACAACAAATATAATATAGATTTTAATAAATTATTTAAAATAAAACTTAATATTTTTTAAAGAATACTACTTCAAAACTATTAAATAGACAGACAAAAAAATCAGCCAAAGATGATTGAGAGTATTTAAAAAAACATCAATTTGTATCCCAACTAATAAAAACTTGTGGCTCTGCCCCTGCATACGAGATGCAATATTGGTGTATGTGAAGTTGATAAATGATTGCCCTTAATTAACCAAAATTTTGGTAAATCAGCCAATAACGAATAAGCAAAGCCCAAATGACAAAAATGAGGCCTTAATCCATAAAGCCAATGCTTCATTAACGGACTAAATTGATTTCCTAATTTTTCCTAATTAACTAGTTATGATATTTGAATTTGTTAAGTTTTAAATGTATCTAAATAATTAAAAAAGGGAAAAACTGGTTGAACCTAGCTGACCCATTTTACTGCATTCCAAGCACTGTACCATCCCTGTAAAGGATAAGCCATAGCTGCAACCACACTGATTTTCTCCTAGAAATTCAACCAACTCAGCAACTGCACGGCCACTATCAACTATAACACTGCATCTATTCCAAAATAAATACCACCTCAAGGTCACTTGTGCACAAAAAAAAACATAAGTGGGGGTCAAGGGAGAGAACTCATGGAAAACTAACTAGAGACATTCAATCGTCTCAAGATCATCCTAATAAACCCCTACGCAGCATATGCTTACTCCATGCACAAACACAATACTCTATTGCTTCTAGATAGGCCATTCATGCAAAGGACCTCCTCAACCTCACCGTTCTCAGCCACAACACTAAACATTCAACGAAACTTCCTGAGAATCCCTTTCCAACTACACTCCATGATTAAAAGAATGACGGATCATTCAACCCAACACAACTCATGCCCAGGTCCATAGGGAGGTAGGGATGATCCAACAAGGATCAAACCACCTCCTATGACTAATTGGAAACCACCTTCAACTCATGGGTCCAATTATTTGTCAAATAAACAAATTTAAGATAATTGTTAGAATCACACAAGATGGGCCACGCAATAGGAAGTGTGGAGATGCAAGCAACATCATATATAAATAGCTGGTGAGATAACAAAACTTGATACTTTATGATAAAAAACACCAATAAGATCCAATTAACTTCTCCGACGTGTAAACCATGTAGTTTACCACCTATTGTCATGCAAGCAGGTGAGTGTCTCCAATGTATTGATCAGGTCAAGAAAGCCCCTCTCAATAGACCCTTACATCACCTCATGACACGCCATTTCATAGCCATGTCGCATCTTCCCAGATAGACACCTAACATTGCCAATACATGCAACGTAGCAAGTTCTTAGCCAGCCACATCACACCACCAAAACAATTTAAAATTTATAAATTACAACTGTCTCATGAAAAATTAGAAAACTATAATTATAGCTTGGATTTTTATTATTTCAGAACTTTAAAATTGCAAAATGTATCAAAAGATCCTAATATTTTAAAACTTTAAATAAATTAAAAACAAATCTAAGTGAACCCTTTAACATGAATCATCCTAAAAACTTCTTTTTTTAATATCCTAAGTATCTAATATAATGCACAAAGTTTCCTTGAAATTTGTGAAATTAAAAAAAAAAGAGGCTAAATTAGAATTATCTATTTCCTGAACGACCATGTTAGCTTATTTAACTCCTAAATTAGGTTATTATGCTACCTCAAAAAGCATACCAATACATCCCAAGAGCCTACTCAAGCAATAGTGGACATGTCAGAGCACCAATATTTTTTTTATTTCTCTACATGAGTGTTAAGATATTTACAGGCAATAATTGCCTTGAGGAGCATGCTAAAGCACAATTTATTAAGAGTCTACTAATATGAATCTTAGTTGGGTTAAAATTCAAAATATTTCAGTAAGTAACCACAATTCTTATTATTAGTATAGAACCAGGTAATTTTATTGATAAAATGGTTGAAGCGCAAAAACATTGCCAAGCTAAGACTATAAGTCTCACCCCAATCACATCAAGGTTTCAAGCCTAGGCTATCACGGTCAAAGTCATGATTGCCAGCCTAGAATTGAGGCTCCCTACCATTTGAATTTTTAAAAGAAAGGAAATACTCACTCAGCAAACCATGTCAAGGCATAAAAACCCCTAGCCAAGCATCATCTCAAATCAGTTCTTTGGGATCTAATTGATAAGAAAATATGTAGTTGCTAAAAAGGCAGGCTTCACACCATATATAAGGGTTATTGGCAAACAAAGACTTAGTAATCTGATAAACCTTCAATAATTGAACAATGCAATTTTGACATAAGAAATCATTTTTTCCTAAATTTGTTGCATAAAATATTGCAAAATAGAGAATAACCTAATTGAGAGTGTTTACCCAATCCTGAGGGAAAACTAAGTGGCTATGCCCATGTAAGAAGTCTTAAATACCGAGTATAATAAACCAAATTCGATTTTAGGAAAAATATAGTTAAAACAAATTCAAAATCTCCCACAATAAGTTCTACCACATAAGAGTTTGGAAGCTTATTATGAGTGAACAATAAGTATGAAATAATGGTGTTGGAATCATGAAAGGTTGAGGTACATTAGATCAATTATGAAGAAAAATAAGAATATAAAGAAGGCATAACATGCATGATTAAAGCTGGATAATTGAAACTAAAAAAGGGCCTCAAATGTATAATATAATAAAATAGGCAAGGAGACAGATAAATTTTATAAATTGCAATTAATATCAACTACACTATTTAAATTTGACGGTTGAACAACTAAAAAGTCATCCATAAAAAAACTAAGCATGATAGAAATAAGAATATTATGATAGAGAAGTCGTAAAAAAAAGAATAGAGATATTATAGAAATAACAATGATTAAAAATAAGATAACAAAGTAAACTTTGGTGACCTGAGTAATTTTAATGAAGGACGAGAGATACAATAATATGACAATAAATATGATTAAAAAGGAAGAAATAAAATGGAATAGATTAGATCAAATCTAACATTAAGGGGGGAGAAATATATGACAATAATAATAGGATATGAGATACATGCTCTTAATAGCTATATATAAATGATTAACAAATGAATAAAAATGAAGCCACGTATCACAATCCCACTATAAAATATATATTTCATGGTCTCACCTATCTTTAAGAAGTCAAAGAACAAACAAATTATTGATATAGCTAAAAAATCAAATAATTGTGTGAAAACAATCGCTAAACGTTCAGTCTAATTAAATTAGTCAATCCCATAACTAGAAAAAATCAAAGGAGCTGTTGAACAAAATTAATAAAACTCTTCTTTGGTTAAACAGAAAAAAAAAATACTATGATATTAGCCTGCAATTCATGTTAATCAAACTCAAAGATTCCTCTCCTTTGCTAGTTAGTTGACTATTATGAACCATCTTCTCGATAGATAGAGGTGATACGTGCGACACCACTGCCTTGTGTAAAATGCCATCGCTACCCTACTACATACCATCATTAGTCTCCTCATCCCTCTCACTTTTCCCAACAATAACCTCTGCCATCAAACTTTGACCCGACATCACAAAACACCAAGCAAGCTTAACCTAACGATCAGGAAATTGATTGCTAGACCAATTCACTACATGGTTTAACTACTAAATAAAAAATTTGAACACAAAAAGCAGCATTTAAAAAAAACTAATCAATGTTCACTAAATTAGATGTGCACCTTAGTATTCTATTAAAGAAATGACTATAGATACATTCATTGATGATAGCCAAGAATACACCAAAACACTAGAACAGATGAAATGCAAAAGGAAAACTAGGAAAGAACTAAATATCTCAAAATTAAATTAAATGAAACCATATTAACAAGAGGAAGGAAAATCAAACCTGTGATATAGGCGCATTGTCGTCAATAAATGGAGCTGCAAGACTTATGAACGAAGCTTCACCTACACCCACCAGCCTAAACGCAATGACTTCAGAATTTAGTAATAATAGAACAAATCTTTTTTTTTTTCTTAGGTGCTAATCATTACAAAAAAAAAATACTTACATCCTGAATATAGTTATTGACCAAAAATCAAAAGCACATCCACAACCAGCAGTAGCAAATGTCCAAACTGAAAGACCAACTCCAATAAGCCTAAATGGATTAACGCTGGATACATTACAAAAAATGATTAATCAGTAGCAAAATACACATCTGTTCTTCATAACTTTGCCTGAAATACAGCAATTACAACATTTAATGATATTGAATCAAATTAACCTAGAGAAATATTGATACTTAATTTTAAATTGTAGTACTTTGTTTAATCTTCTATTGGATTTTAAGTTTTTTATTGTACATTTGGTTTCCATGCTTTCATTTGTACTAGTCGACTGTTTTATTGAAAATTTGTTAAAGGCTCAGTTTCTGCAATGTGTTGGTAGATTAGCAAATAATATTTATTCTATATTCTGCTAGTTTGGAATGATAAATGGCAAATCTAGAGAAAATTTGATTTATAATTAGCTTAGGAAATATTGATAAATTAGTTTGGAATGATAAATGGCAAATCTAGAGAAAAATTGATTTATAATTAGCTTAGGAAATTGATTTATAATTAGCTAGCAAATCTAGAGAAAAATGATAAATGGCAAATCTAGAGAAAAATTAACCTTGAGAAATATTGATACTTAATTTTAAATTGTAGTACTTTGTTTAATCTTCTATTGGATTTTAAGTTTTTTCTTGTACGTTTCGTTTCCATGCTTTCATTTTTACAAGTCGATGTTTTATTAAAATATTGTTAAAGGCTCAGTTGCTGCAATGTGTTGGTAGGTTAGCAAATAATATTTATTATATATTCTGCTAGTTTGGAATGATAAATGGCAAATCTAGAGAAAATTTGATTTATAATTAGCTTAGGAAAATCTGTTGTTGCAGCTCCCACTTGAGCCTTTAACATCTTGATCAATATAGTGATTTCCACCTCCTGCCAATTATGATCAAATTAATACACACCAGGCTTCTCCCCCCTATAACTTCCCAATTTGGAACTATTAATCAGGTGTTGTTGCCACTTTTCTTAATGGATCAATTCGGTGACTTGATTGCTCCTAATTTCTTACCTCATATATCATTCTCTATCATATATACAAATATCTGACTATTTCCCAAGAAACAACACTAATCCATAACCTCCATTACTATTATAAAAAAGGAAATGCAGCCTATTAATTTAATTAGCTTGTATTATAGTCTCTTTACTATTTTGGATATAAATGTGTATAAATGCCCAATCATTCGGCAAGAAATGCAAGAGAGAATTTCTTCCCTCTCAATAAAATGTTCACTACATTTTATGCTTATAAATTTTTGCTTACAATTATTTTTAAATGAAACTTTTTATCAGGAATGTATAATTGTTTTATTAGTATTGACTATTGACTCTTGAGATTTATCTCCTAATTGAGATTAAACCCAATAAAATGTCCCGTCTTATCGAGATATTCTCTCTTCCAAACTCGTAATGTGATGCAATCTAATTCAATGGATGAACAAGAGAAAATGCTAGAAATGAGTAGCTTAAATGTAAACTAGAATATTTTTTACTAGGTTATTTCAGTTTAAAAAATGACTTGTGCGAGAAAAAAGAATGACATCATTAGGCTTCACAAAATTGCCTTAGATTAAGAAATGGAACTAAAAATATTTGTATAAAGGGTTTTAGATGAAGGTTTGAGAAATATTTTCAAAATTTAAATGAAGCACCAACCTTTTTGCTAAGATTGCAAATATTGGAGATGCCACTAGAAGTCCAACCATGAACGCAGATGATAGAACTCCATCTTCAAAATTGCTCAGGTCAAAGTCTCCTCTGCAACATATATTTAGTTAAAACGATGAACCAAAAGATTTTCCATTAAACATGTATTAAATATTTGACATTACATAGCTATTTTAAGGAGTTCCCATTAGAAAACTGTGTTAGAAATGAAGAATTTATACAAACAAATTTTAAAGAAATTATCACACTAATGAACAAGGCACAACAAAAAGCATCTTCTATGATTTCTTGAGCAAATCTTATGAGAAAAATCAAGTTTGAAAAACAGGATTCTTCTCTTTAAAAGAACATTCCTTTAAATTAAAATTACAACAACCCAAGGCATTCTAAAAAACTTAAATTACTGCTAATATACAAATCAAATTCCCTTCCACCAATCCACAGCAAACCAAACTATTGATGCAAACTTGGAATCAAAAAGTTTCTTTAAGAATCAACATAACCCACATCCCTTGAACAAGAAACTACCTACATCCCCACCAACATATTTACCTACAATAATTCTCAGAAAATAAGTTTCCGGGAAACTCCACCATAAATTTCATGTCATGAACGGTACAAAGCTTAGCAAACAAACCATCGCTAGATTAAAACAGTATTACAAATCATTAAAAATATAACCATAACCAAGGCAAACCAACAATCAATCTTACTGAATTCCACCACCCGCAACGCAAACACCACTCTCTGTGCAAGTTTTCTGGCTGCCATTGACACCATTGCTTGCAATTACTCCTCGGTCAACGTAATTTAGCATATTGATTACGCAAAACATCACAAGTAGCCTGCAAGAGATTCTAGCGTTATCAAAACATACATTTAATCATAACCATAGTCTCAATATCCACACCCCAACCCTTTCCCCAATAGCGAATCAAAGAAATAAAATGTTGTTTCCACAAAATCCCCAACCCAAGGAAACGAACGACGGCAAAGAAAACCCTAGAGGTCCGGCAGAGTTTCGCCAGCGATAGAAGGGAAAGAAGGAAGTGTACCTCTTAGGCGAGAACCATGAGGGATGCTCCTCAGCCCTAGGGCTCGGCTCCCGGTCGTCGTCGCGTAGGGGGATCGCGATCGGCATTTCCGCCTGCGGCGAAGTGGCGGCAGAAGACTTTACCTCCTCCCCCATTAAAATAATAGTCGAAATGTCAATTAATATACGGAATCTTCACGTCCACGTCAAAATCCTCACGACGTTTCTCACCGCTTTTCTGCTCTTTTTATATTTGTTCTGTACATCTTTCATTCTTCACTCTGCGATTAAATGAAGGCTTAGCAGAGGGAGAAGATGAGAGCTGCTGCATTTGAAATCCCCATTGTTCTTCGGAGATATTCTCTGGAATCTCACCGGATTTGGCAATTGAACGATGGCTGTATGGAATTGCCAGCTGTGGCTACGAACGGCTGGTTGAGATGGGAGCGGCTAAGCTCAGTCGGATGAGAGGAGCAGATATTCTAAATAAAGAATTTAAAAGGCTATTGTTTTTTTTTTCTTTCTTTTTAATTTAAAAGACTATTAATGTTGCAACTTCAGATCTACGTCAAGCTCAACTTGTGAGCCATGAATTTGAGTTGAGCTCAAAATGCGAGCAAGAGCTCTGCTCGTGTCATTCAAAACAAGCTTATGACGCAACTAGATTCCATGGTTCGAGTTTCGATTTTGCGTCCACAGCCTGCCACAGCCATCTACGATTCTGCCTTTGGTATTCGAGCACCCCCCCCCCCCCCCCCCCCCCCCCACACCCCCCACACACACACACACACACACATTCTGATTTATGCTTGAGCCTTCCACGTTCAAGCCTGCCCACAATGTCCAAGCCCACCTAACATATCCGCCTTTTGTAGTTTTGATTTCGCACTCAAGTCGTTCAACAAGCAGTCGGTAGGCGACAGTGGTCGGAAAGACAGTTATTTGGTGATGGAGGTTTGAATGATCATAATCAACGAGCAATGAGAGGTCGAAAAAGGCCATAGTTTGGTTATGGATGTCGGAAGGACCGTAGTCAGCATGCGATGGTACTTAGAAAGATCATTATCTTGTGACAGAGATCGGAAGTATCGTAGTCGGCAGGCGATGGAGGTCGAATAGATAGTTGTATGATTTGGCGGGCAACTGAGGTCAGAAAGATCGTTGTCAAGCGACGGAGGTTGGAATGACCGAAGTCGAGCAGCGTCAATGGTCAAAATACTGTTGTTTGGTGACATAGAAGGATCATAATCGGCAATTGGGTGGAAGTCTAGCATCAGTCGATGGCGGGGTAGAACTATGGTGTTCGTCGGTGGCCGAGTGTGTAAGTCCAACAATAATTGGAATCCAAGTGGAAGTCCAGCATCAGTTGGTGGCAAAGTGAAAGTCCGGCGTCAGTTGGTGGCCAGATGGAAGTTCGGCGTCAGACAGTGACCACGCAGAAGTCCAGCGTCAGTCGGTGGTCAGTTGGAAGTCTGGCATCAATTGGTCCGGGCAGAAGTCCGGAGTCAATCGGTGCCCTGACGGTGGTCGAGGAGTTTGGTGGCAAGAGAACTCTAATTTCTCTCTATTCATTATATTCCTTGCTTCCCTCCCCATTCCACTAGGAATGAGGGTCTATTTATAGTTTTCTAAGAGTGATATGACCGGTAAATAAAAGGGTGATCAAGGGTATGTAGGAGTGGTTTGAATTGATGACTGATATTGATCCCCTTGATTATTGACCGTTTAATGGGCATTTGAATGTATAAATGATATCAAAATTTGATGATTTTAGGCTCATTGGATTCTAATGGTCGAACTGCTTAATTTGAATATAAGCATGTCACGCTTGGAAACTATTTGGTCACCCAATCTATAGTTTGAACCTTTCATATGCGTTTCGGGTCCTTAATTTGGACCTATTTGGACTCATTTTGAATTGAATTTTGGTGTCGTTGGATTCGCCTTTTCGAGACGTTCAATTCTACTATAAATCTGTTGAAATTGGAGTTTATATGGTTCCTAATTTTATTTCGGAAGTTTCTAACTCAATTTTGCTAGATCAAGCTAATTTTTTGACGAGATATCAATATTATTTATTTATTACCACATATAGTTTTAAAATACGGGCAAATTTTCAATATAGTTAAAAAGTTACATATCATTTTAATATTTAATTGACTATTTACATATTAATAAAAAATGGAATAAAATATTATTAGGTTATATCACTGATATTTATGAAATAATTACCGTTTCTTTTTTCTTAGCTAGATTTTATTTTTAATTTTTAATGGAAAATAACATGAATAGCTCAATTTCAAGGTCTGGAATATTCTTCCTCCTTTTTCATATAATATAATTATTTTTTTAATTGACATTTTGGCATATTGTTGTCCTTTATATTGCCTTCTTCTTTGCCCATCCATGTGGACTTATATTCTTAATAATTAAAAGTGCAAAAAATCAAGCTAATATCTTTAAATAACAATAAAATTATTATTTTTATATATTTATGATTGAAAAAAATAAAATTTTATTTTGTATAATAATAAAATAAATATGATAAGTATGACTTTATATTCTCATAAAAAAAAAATTATTTTTTTGGACTTTTTTATTCAAATAAAAAAATATTCAAGTAAAGTCAACTCATTATGGGAAAGCATTGTCACCCTTTTAGCTAATAAAATAGTAAAAGAGATTGGCATGCATCAAAATTGAATTTTACCATATTTTTATATCTAATATCTAAACTTTAAAATTAAATTATGTAATATCTTAATTTTTAATATCATATTAAAAATTATTATGTGCTAAAACACTAGCATTTGTAAAGTTAATGTTTAATGTTGTAATTTTATAAAAATCCAGCCCGCATTAAAAAAATTATGTGAGGCCATTTTTTTTTTTTTTACAGAGAAAATCCATGTACGTGAAAAAATAATGGTAGTTGTAACAATTCATTTTAATATATAGGCTTTCTAGTCAACTTTATCGAGCTCACAAGTCGAGTTCGAGCTTGATTGAGGCTCGGCTCACGAGCCCTCAATTCACTATTAAAAGTTTTTTAATTCTTTTAATTTTATTAATACTAAATGTTTTAATCTTCCCGCCTAAATATTAGTTCTAAATGTTTTACAACGCTCGTGGGGCTCAAGTGGATTGAGGCGATCGCGTCTGCGGGTGCCAAGTGCCAACGGGACGAGCGCGTATGGTGTTGGGACGGACGGTCAAACACAAGCGAATTTGACGGTTGAGGAAGATGTTGGTGGAAGATGCCAACGATCAAACGACAGAGGAATTCATCAGTTGCAGAAGGCGTCGGACAACGAAGACGATAGCGGAGGCTCATGAACCAGTTTGAGCTTGTTTACAGTGGGGCGAGCTCGAATTCGAGCTAACTTTCCAACATACGAGCTGAGCTCGCTAATGCCAAAACTCGACTCATTTACACACTTATCCTCCATGTCACAAATGAATAAGATATAATAATTTATAATTGAGAGCAATCATCATATTTCATTTGTATGAATTAATGTCCACAATTTGACAATTAAAGCCCAACAACTTGGTTAAATGTTGACAGAAGTCCAACGATGGTGATAGCAATCGCAGGAGGTGATCAACGAAAATAATAGTTGAGAAATGCAAGTGAGTTTTTTAATTCTCATAGCTTGAACTTTTTTGTTTGTAGAGAATTATGCCCTATTTATTACATATTTAAGATGAAAATTGTAATAACTTTTGCTAGAAAAGAATCACTCCATCATATAGTATATACTAATCTTCTTGATCGTAGACTATTTATTAAAGACGATCAGTTTACAATGCTTCACTTCTGGATTGAGATCCAATTACAACTTCGTTAGAGTTCCAGCGTTACTTGGAGATCGAGCAAAATTTTGGTGACAGGTAGAACTCTGGCGTCAGGCAGAACTCTGGCGTCGTTCGGAAGTCCGGCAGAATTCCGGCGTTAGGCAAAACTCTGGCGGTGGTCAAGGAGTTATTCCCTCTTCTTCTTCTCTTCTTCTTCTCTTCTTCTTGCTTCTTCTTGATTGGGCCCCCTCACATGAGAAATGAGGGGTTATTTATAGATTTTATGGAGTGTCGTAGCTTATAAATGTGTAAGATTAGGGACAAATAGGGAATGGTCGAATGGACGGCTAATATTGAATCTCTTGATCGTGCACCATTCGTCAGACATTTGAAGGTCTTAATGATGTCGAAATTTGGCGATCTTGGGCTCGTTGGATTCATCTCATCGAGCCGCTAAATTCGACTATAAGAATGTCATATTTGGAAACCGTTTGGTACTCAAATTATGGTTTGAACTCATTTGGGCTCGGATTGAGTCGAATTTGGTGTCATTGGGCTCGTATTTCCGAAACGCTCAATTTGACTATAAATTTGCTGAAATCGGAGTCAGGTGATCCTGAATTTAATTTTTGAAGTTTTCGGATTAATTTTGCCTCGAGAACCAAAAATTGGATAACCGTAAATACACTGTAGATTCGTGCCCGATCAAGATAATTTTTGAGGATATATCATTACTAATGTTAGTTTATCTAAAATAATATTAAATTTTTAAAGTTTATATTTTAATATGATATAAATACTTAAATATTATGTAAATAAATACAGTAGTTTAAATATTAAATATATAAATAAATATGTTAATCCCCCACATCTCATTTGAATTGCCGCTTTATTCTCTCTCTCTTACTAGTCAAGAGCTCAGTACTCCAAAATGTTTTGTTTTTCCTTCCACTATAGCGGTATATAGTTGCTTCTACTTAGCAAATGGGCCAACAGAGGTCTTTGTGGGTCGGTCAAAATAATCTTAAGCCCACAAAGCCTATTCATTGTACATCAAAAAATCCGCAAAAAAGGCCCACAAAAAAAACATCTTACAGTACAGCTTCGTCTCCTTCCCTGCTCCTTAATCTTCCTCACTGTCAAATTACCAACCGAAGAAAGAGAAGATAGAACTATTGGAGAAAACTCTCCTTAACCAGCTGAAGCCTCCTAAGGCAAGCCTTCGCCCTCTCGATAGCCACCTCCGCCCTATCTTCCGGCAACCACTTCATCTTCTTCTTCTCCAACCCAAACCCTAAATCCTCATCGCACAAGTCCCCTCTTCTCCTCTTCCGATTCGACGACACTAGAAATCGGCAACAAATACAAAGCCAAAAAGAGTCAAAACAGGATAAAAACGGCTTCAATCGGAGCAGATAGAGGAAGAGAGAACGGACCTTGCGTGCCGGGGGAGGAGGAGGAGATGAGATCGGGGAAAGAAGGATTGAGATCGTAATCGGAGATTAGGGATTGGAGTTCGAGCTTTAGGTAATCGAATCGTGATGGATGACGAGCTTCCAGACTCTTCAGCTCCTCCTTAGCCCTCTCCGTCATCCAGCTGTCGGCTGACATCGTATTGAGCTTATGTTGAAAGCGGAAGAGGGCCGAATTTAGAGAGATAATCAGCCATGGAAGGAGCTTCGTGGAGCTGCCATTAAGAGGAAATGACGGCCTGTGGGACTCGGCCGGTCGTGTTAGGTCTGCAAGTGGCCTCGGAACGTGTACAGGGTCGATATCTGCGCGATTTCCGCTACAAAAAACGACAAACTTTCGAGTAAATTTGGTATTTTTAGGATTTTCTTGTATGATTACTTCTCAGTGCGATTGAATGCCACTGTTTTTATAATAATAATAATAATAACTCTCACTTAAACCCTTTTTTTCCCAGTATTACTCTGTATTTGAAGACGTGACTGCATCTGATTTGCCTCTAGACGGTAAGCCGTGTCTTGATGTTGTTATTGATACAAAGGGCGAAAAAGGAATCATGTAGCCAACCACATAATGAGACAGAGGCTTGATGTTGTTATTGTTGTTGTTGCAAACTCATAGAATGAAGCTCAAACTAGAGCTCAGTTAATTAATCAAGCTCAAGCGAGGAATAACTCAAGATCGGCATGACTCGTTTGCACATTTAATTAAACCTATCTTAAAATGTCAAAACTATCATTTGCTTAAAGCGGCTTTTTAAGAAGCATTAAAAAAACCGTCCCAAACAAAGCCTAAATTTATATTAGATGTAACTATTCCAACAACTGTGATTTGATTTGCATCCATGGGCACAGAGTTATCCTAACATCACTGTATATTCTGCTTTGAATTTAGTTTATTGGTCAAGACATAAGACCTCCCAGGCTGCCACTAATATAAAAATCAAGAAGGGATCAATATACCCTACTTCAGCTTCGTTTGGGGCGGCTTTCTTGCTGCTTCTTAAAGCAGTTTTTTTTTATTTTTAAACAAGAAAGCTGCTTTAAGAAGTAACAAGAAAGTTGTCCTAAACGAAACCTTCATCCCTGCATCATATATAAGTTTGTTCAAAAGGATGAGATTGGAGACATAAATATGCGACACTTTTAGCTATTAGGGAAAAAAAAAACAGTGAAGACTTACCAGTTAAACGGCATTAATTGCTCACATGGAAGCTTGCAGGTGCAATGTTTATGACCATTCATGAACTCTTTCTTTTATATCCCCTCAACTCCATCTCCTTAGATCTTCTTCTTCATCAACAGGACTATACCAAGATGGCCTTCTTTTCGAATTACTCAACCTATAATTTAAGTAAGCCTCTTCCTCACACAGTGGCCTCATTGCAACCAGCACAAGCGTCTTAATGACTGGAGCATCTATTACTTGATCACCAGCACCTTTTGATCTGAACCAGAAGCTCCCAAACCTCTTCATTGTCACACTCTCCTGGTCACCAAACACAATATTCGGTATATAAACTCTCATATCCTTCTCCATGACTGGAAAATCATAGGGACAAACCATGACATTTGGGTCACTTCCTTTAGCTGGATGGTTGGCGAAATGACCAAAAGCAAGCGGGTTTCGAAGCTCGAGTACTTCACTGGGGTTTATTCCATTACTACTTTCAAGAGGCTTGCTAAGAGCTTTCCATAAACGATCAGAATTTTGACTGATATTTGATGATGAACCTGGCTTGAAGTTTGGTTGGAAAAAACCATCCCAGATTTCCCGGGATTCCCCACCTATTCCCCATGGCTGTGCATTGATTATTATGTCATCATATCTTGTTATAAGGTAGGAGTTGCAGGAATCAACCCTTGGGTATCCAGGAATGTAACGGTAATAAGCTGGAGAATATATAATCCCTGGGTAGAAGGCGACGACAGAGCCTACATTGCTTTCCCCGGACACGAAAAGGCCTAGACCAGCTTCCTCATGAGGAATCTGAGATGGCTTGACATCAATGGTGTATCCTAATCGATCTTTGAGATTACATGAAAGCTCAGCACGTGAAAGCAGCTTCGTTTGAGTCACAACTGTACTGAAATGAATTAGAGGTTAGCTTGTTAAGTCATAAATTATTCAAAACTTAAGCTTTGTTTGGGACGCTTTCTTACTGCTTCTTAAAGCGACTTTTTAGTATAAAAAAATTAATTTTTATACTAAAAAGCTGCTTTATGAAGCAGGAAGAAAGCTGTTCCAAACGAAGCCTTAAACTGTGTGTTCTTATAACGGTGCAAAGAGGCTTTTTACTCATATGCAAAAAAAAAATAATGACTACTTACCAGGTTCTGGTGCAGATGAAACTGAAGTGCCGATGGCAAAACTAAGACCGCTGCGTTTAGGGCCATTCTGGTGGCCGAGGGCTGAATTAGGCTTATCGGGGATGTTGTTGGGATCAAGTTGAAGGATATCATCCATCTGGTTACATATGTTTTTAATCTGATAATGTATATTTTCTTGAACTTGTCTCTGCTGATCAGTAACAGAGGCTTTGCTGGCCATTTCAATTATCTCCTCTGCATCCTTCTCATCAGCATTCCTTCCCAAACGATTAAAGCTGATCTTTAGCAAAAACAAAGAAGGATAAGAAAAACTTATATAAAAAAGAAGATGATAATGTTGTAGAGAAAATTTATAATGCAGGTGAGTGCAATATTTAAATTCAAGCAAAAAAAGTGCAACATAATAAAAATATTTGAATAATTTTTTTTTAGGAAAAGAAGTATTTGCTTAGTTGAAATTAGATGGAATATGCTTCACTTATGAGAGCTTGGAGTCCAGTTTCAATTTTGCGGTTGTACAGAAAGATAATAAATATTATAAAATTCATGAGATATGATTACTTCCAATGGTTCAGCTCCTAACACATGTACTATATTTAACGAAGATTCTTCCACTCCATCTGAAAAAATGGTTTGGATTCTTTGCTCCATTAAATTTGCTTACCTAGTCATATTATCATCTTTAAAAAGTTTGTTACTGTGGTATTCCATTTCTGTCCTTTAAGTTATGTTATTTAAAGGAAAACTATGCAAGAATGGTTTAACTTTTTCAAATGGGCTTGTATTCTGTAGAAGTAAAGGTCATCACTAATGGTGTTACCGTTTTCAAATGACCTCGCAGAGATTTCCTTTACCGGAAGAACCTTATTCGTGATACAATTCATGTTTACGTAAAATAGCAACCTCAAAATTTCCTTCATATTCTAGGTCATAGTGTGAAAATTCTATATATCCAAGTAGACTATTCATCTCTAGAGAGACAGTAAGTAGATAATTTAATATTGAACTTCACACTATATCTTGATCGAATTACATATTATTCCAAAAAACTGGATCTGAGAACTCATACATTAACAGAGAAAGAACCTAGGTTCTATCTTTTTTTCAAGGTAATCACTACATTCCTTCTCGAATATCAGAATTCATTCTATTTTGAATTTATTTTGGGGAGAATTACATGTATAATACCTAAAATTTGCCTATTTATAAAACTAACAACCATGTTATTCTTTTTAACCAACTAAACACATGTGTTTTTGTGTGCCACGATCAAGCCATTAGGAATTTAACAATAGCAAAATATGAATAGAGATGATGTTGTGTATTTTAATTTTTTTATTGAGAATTTAAAAAATAGATATAAAAGGATGTTAGTTTTATAAATAGTCTACTACACCTATTTATACTTCCATGCATCATGTTTTTGAATATTCCTATTATACTTCCATGCATCATGATTTTGGATTTATGAATTATGAAGAGTTGGCAGAACTTGTGCAATTTCTAAATTAGTTTCTTAAAGAGAAGGTGGGGGGATAGTTTAACTTTAGCATGAGTTGATGAAGGAATATTTAGCAAGAAAAAATCTCTATCATTATCTTCCACAACATAGCTCTCAACTTGAAGACAAGGTTAAGTAAAGTAATATTTCTTTTCATCAAAAGTGGAGGGAAAAAAAATGATAGATAGATGGTAACACTTGTACCCATTTTGGGTTTATGAGTAGCTTACAAAGATACAAATGATTGCTCTGGGTCTAATTTATCATAATTATCACTAAAACATGTGCAAAGGTGATACAATAAAAGATTTGTAGTGTGATATTATCTGCTGTGCTCAAATTGGAATAAAGCTGAGAGAGTACTTTCATTGATGTTTAGAATTCCAAAAACTTTTGTAGGCAACCTATTTATGACATGAGTAGTATTAATAACCTCTCCCCAATATGATCATGAAACATTTCATTGAAATAACAGGGCTCTAGTTCTGACTAATAAGTGACATTTTTCATTTTTGCAATTTCATTCATTAAGGAGTATTAACTATTGGTTAGAAAATATTAGAAATGATCTTTCTTTATTAGATTTAAATGAGAATTTGACTTTTAATAGGACACAATGACGAAAAAAGATTCATGTAGCCAACCCCACGTAGTGAGACAAAGGTTTGATGTTGTTGTTATAAGGAGTATTAACTATTCATGCATGCACGAAGACTCAGATTATTCCTTAACATTTGAAATATAGAGGCATATTTTGGTTAAAGTGATCCTTTTGAGATGCTAGAGCGGCATATAAAAGACATCACAATAATATAATATATAAATAACCACATTTACAAAATATTCAATAACAAAGTAATGTTTTTAGTAAATACTAAATGGTAAATCTACATATATCTATATTTGAATATGAACATGCCATAATAAATTGAATGAATAAAATGATAACGAAGATAAAAACAAATTATAAGAAATTATAGAGAATCTATTTCTTGCGTACAAAGAGAATTGTACGAGGAAACATGCTAAACAAGGAAAAGTAAAGCAGAAGAAAAAGAATTATGGAAAATATCCATTTACAACCGTCTATTTCAAAGTTAAATAAGAATTATTGCATAATGCATAGTTATTCTGCACTAGAACATGAATGCAAACAAAACACAAGTTTCAGTTTACTAAATTTTATATCTAACAATTGATAGACAAGATACGACTTAAAATAGAGAAAATGTTCAGAGACATTGTCGACCTCCAGCACAGATATATTATCAAAATATTTATGGCATATTCACTTTCCAATAATTGAAGGCTTGAATCCATCTTTGGAAGATTAAAAGAGCATCAGAACCAAAAAGATAAACATTGAAGCATCAAAACCAACTGAAAAGCCACATCAACAAATAAACCAAGCCCAATAACAACTATGACAATGTCAAAAGACAACAACAGAAGAAGCCTACAAAAAGACAAAAAACTCAGGCATGAGCAACAGTACAAACATTCAGCAAAACCAACAAAATGGAAACCACAACCACAGAATCATATAAAACTCTCATACATGATTCAAATAAATATTTTTTTCCTCACCCCATCTCCCTAAAATTCGTAAGAAAGTACACATCTGAAATAGATTGGAGAAATTAAAAAAAAAGAAAATCATCTTTAGAAGATTGGAAAAATAAGGAAATCATACAAAGAGAGGAGATGAATCAAAGCTTGTAACATGGTCAAAAATGGAAAATAATACATGAGGAAAATGTTAGACCGGTCCACTCCAGCCGGTCCACGCGGGACCGGCAGTTCGCAAGAAGAACGAAATCTCCGCCTCCTGCGGAGATCGGGCGGCCCGTCCGCTCAAATAGAGCTTTTTAGGAAGCGTTTTTTTTTAGAGTTTTGAGAGGGAAATTTGAATGTAGGGACTGTTTTGGGATTTCCTTTTGATTGGTATGCATTAAATAGTTGATTTTGCTAGGGTTTGAGTATCTTGAATTTGGCTGAAATTTGAGATCTCGTAGATTTAGGATTTCTTTGGGCTCTAGCGGCGTCTAGAGATTTGGGAGAGATCGATCCTCCTCTCGAATTGAGGATCAATTGTATCTTGCTCTTTTATTCATCGTCTAAGTGGAATACAAGTTTTTTCTTGAGTTTTCTCTCGTATTTTCCCGGACAAGTGCTGTTTTCCTGCTGTAAACAGCAGAAATCTGCTGTTTTCCTGCTGTGGACAGCCATTTGGCTGCTGTTGGTTCGCCGATTTTGGATAGGTTGCTTGTGAATACAAGCACTTCCTATCAGAAAATTTACACGTAGGCTTCAATTCTCCACATCCTACAATCGCCAAAAAGAGGGCAAATGCAACACGAGTAAATTAAAGTAGGATACGGTATAAGAGAGATGCAGATGAGCTAGAGCTTGGTAGGGGACAGGTTAAGCTGAAGTCCATCCATGACCTTTCTTCGCAACTGAGCCTTAGATCTGATTGTATCCTGGTCTAGAGAAAATTTGGTTGCACTATAGCAAGTGACTTAGGCATCTATGTAGCATGGCAATGTGGGCATTATTTGCTCTTGAATGATAATATGTCTAAGATTAAGTTTACCATGACGCCTAAATAAGTAGAATTAAATTTCTCTAAATTTTTACAGCTCTGTTAAGCATTATTTGAGCACAACTTAACATGGTTTAGTTCCTTCAATCAGAGTTTGAATGCAAACATCAAATCTAAAGGAGTGCTTACTCTCCACTAATTGTCTGTATAATATTTTAGTAAGTTACTAGAATGCAGTAATCAAAAAGCTACAGAGTTAGCAAAAACAACTTGCCTTTCTCCGCATACCTTTATTTCTTAGTTCCATTTAATTATTTTATTTTTTTCATAAAAATAAATGTTATTATAAGTGGTTTTCAAGTGTTTGTGCTTGGATTGGGATGTGTCAAATATAGGCGGGAGGAGATTTCGTGGGGTGGGGGTTCTGAGGATTTCTCCTGGAAAGAAAATGCAGTGGACAGTACACGCACAAATAATACCATCAAGTATTAGCCCTATGTAAACGTTATAAATGGTATGCTTTCATTATCACAAATTGGGGACAGCATATATACCATGCTTTCTGCTCGGTAAATTACAGATGCTAGTTTTGGTACAAAAGCATTAACCTTGTGTAGAGAAATAAACGATTGATATCAGCTTCAAATTGAAGATGCCTTGGATCTCGAGTAAACTTTGGACTCTTAGCTAGAGTATTAGCTACCTGTAAATGCAATAAGAAAAAAAATGGATTAAAAAGAAAAATATCAACCATGAAGCATAATAATTTCTACATAGCTAAGGAAAGAAATTCATAATTATCCCTATTGTTATTTCATTTATTTTAAACTAAAAAAGCAAAAATATGCAAATGAATATTATTAATAATTCCAAACCTCTGTCTGTGCACACAAATTGCTATAAGACAATCATCATTATCCTTTGTGTTGCATGATGTTTAAACCTATTATACACAAATATTTTTGCACAACTTCTATTCATGTTACCTTTAGTCTACTCATTTTTTCTCCTAATCGTTTCGCATTACTTTTATCCATCCACATTAATGCATTTTTTTATCATTAATTGTACATATCCAAACTATCTAAGTTTATTTTTAACTCCTTTATATTCAATAGACATTACTCCCGCCATCCATGTAATTTAAATATTTCTCAATCTACACTATTTAGTTTTTTTTGTGCCTCTGCACCATTCCAACAAGTTCTTCGCTTATGTGCATTCTATTTTAAATTTTGCTTAGGCTTTATGATAGTCTTCTTAATAAACTAGCCATAGAATCCTGCATCAAGTTTGCCTATACTAAGAATTCTAATTTAACTCTTTTAACAAACTAACTTAAATGCTTTCTCACCTTTCAAATTTCTCCATTTTATCCAACAACGACAATAACATCAAGCCTTTATCCCACTGTGGGGTTGACTATATGAATTCTTTTTCTCCATTGTATCCTATTAAAGTCACATTTTCATTTAAATATAATAAAAAATGTCATTCTAATATTTTCTAACCAGGCCTTTTTAGGTCTACCAATGGTAAATTTCTCTGCCTTATCCAATGGTGATTATTTCTTTATTACCTTATTACTTATATTCCTAATATACACATACATAATTATTTCTTTATGACCTTATTCCTTATATTCCTAATATACACATACATAACCATGTTTATGTGTCATATATTCAGAAAAGCTATTTCTTGGACCATTCTCCCTGCTTTTTCCTACAATTTGTTTAAGAAAAACTATTTTTGGGAAAGCATAACAAAAGTTGTTGTCCATAAAGCAGTCTTTAGATATTTCCAATAGCACATGCAAGAAGGCATAAGCGATATCAAACAATGCCTTAAACTTTGGTAAATTATCACCTATGAAGCTTGATTTTCCCATCTAATCTCTCCTCAGATAAAATCTCACCAAACATTAGAAACATTAAAGCATGATCTTGGCCAAGCTCTGTGATTCTTTGTGATATTTCAAAAAATTATCAAGCTATTAAAAAACATCCATTTTAAAATCCTTATTCATTAATTTAATATAAATCATGCAACGCACTTGGCAGCTCATAATAGAAAAATCTCCCAAATTGATATTGTAAACTTTAGCATCCACAACTATAAAAATTACGCCATTTTCCATATAACGATGCCAAATTAAGTGGACATTCTCATGAGCGTAACCTATAGTCCTGGTGAGCTTCCTCATTTACGAAGCAAGATATAGCAATCAAAATATTAGGCCAAAATTTTAAATGATCAAAATTTCTTTGAATCTTATCTTTAATACTTGAGCAAATTACTCCAGCCTGCAATCTCTAAGTATTGCTAACGTACTTTCGATTGCATCACTGCAAGTATCATGATCCAAACTGTATGCAGTAAAGGCAAAATCTCAGAGTGCGAAACTGATTCTAATCGAGAAAGACAACCATTAATGCTGAATGATCTCAAAACAAGGTGGTCAAAAGAAATGAGATTCATCAAATGGCCAACAGAAAATCATGTAAATGAAACCAATTTACATCGAAGAAATAAATCTAGAAATGTGGCAGCGTTTTTTTTTTTTTTTAAGAAATATCTAATATGTATACAGGAACCCCAGTAATTTTGGATTCCTTCGAGATATTACGTGCAGAAATCAAACCCTAGAGCGGCGCATCTATGTTGAGGGGAAGAAAGAGAAAGAAGAAAAGATTGCTACCTCCTGGAACTTCCGGAAGAGAAAGGCCATCGCGGGGTTCTATTGAGTCGATTTTTTCTCCAGTAGGTCAGCGGCAAATGAAAATGGCGAGTTGAAAGCCAGTCGCTGCAACAGAAAGAAACCCGTCTGGGCTGCAAGGAGTAAAGCTGAAGTATGTAAATTCGAATTATTTTTAAAATTATTTGGCAGAACAAAAATTAAATTCAGTTAAATTTTATTTCAGAATTTAAATAAGATTTAATAATAATTATTATTAAAAATTTAAAATATGTTACATAATTATGACTAGATTTTCCCAAAAAAAAAAATTATGACTAGATTAATTAAATCAAATTTTCACTTAATTAGTATTTTTTTAATATGTCAATTAATTATTAAAATAATAAAATATAAATTCTAATTAAATTTTTTTATCAATCCTATTTAGATTAACTAAATTACACTTATGATATATTAATAAGTAAAATATTAAATTAATGAAATGTAAAATTTCATTAAATGAATTTAAATAAGAAAGAATATCAATTGACTTAACTTAATTTTTTTAATTAGTTAATACAATAATCTCTATGTGGTAATAAAACCAAAATTATTACCATTTTAAATTAATATTTTATTAATTGCAAATAAATACTATGACTAATTTAATTTTTATTTCATATATTTATATATAAATAACTTGAAGTAAGGGCTTATGTAAAATAACCGAGAACCCCTAACATAATATTTCTCACTTGCCTAGCAATTCTCATATTTGAAGTCATGAAGAAGCTCAATATTTTTTATGCATCTTTCAATTCCCCCATCTTGCTAAAACTCTACGGTATGATCTAATACTTCTTTTTTTTTTTTCTTTTTTTTTTGCATTGCATATTGGTATCTTCGAGGGGAGAGATTATTACGTGCGAAGTTCGGACAAGTCTAAAGGCTAATCCGGATATGCCACATCACCTAATACACTGTGTATTGAGTGACATGACGCGTCCAGATTGACCTCTGGACATGTCCAAACTCTGCATGTAATAATTTTTCCTTCTAGGGATACTAAATCACTGCATAAATATATTTCTAGTTAAAAAAAGAAGAATACTACAAATCCTCCTCAAATGAGGACATCACCGTCATCGACACTACCACCACCACTAACTACAATCACTACTATCATACTATACCTCCCGCTTCTAGCACATCACATCATTCTTCATATACTTCCAGACAACCCCGTTCCATCGCTTCTGTTCATATCCATGGTCGTCACTATCCTAAGTTGGACCAACCCATATTGAAGAGCTTTGATTTCTTCTTACACCTCACTTACTGAGAAAATGAGTCAGATCCTACAACAAACATATACGATACTTCATCGAACATTTCTTTTTGATTTAGCATTTTTCAAAAAAGAAATTCGATACAAACAATTCTCAATCATGATCCTTATGAACACCAACCAACTCATGGTCCACTACAACCACCTTATCATGCTGGATCATCTACTTCTAATGAGCCCATAAAATTAAAGATATTATTAGGAGCAAATTTGATGATCTTTATATCTCATGGAAGCAAATTCATTAAGAGTTTGTCAGTGATTAATTGCTCCACAAATTTTAGGTTATGATATTTCATACATTTAAAAGAAATATTTTAGCAGCTTAATAATAATAATTTAATTTAATTTAATTTTGCAAATTGACTTCCATGGCTGTCTTAAAATCATAATATGATGAATTGAAATTTTGAGTAGAGAGCATGCATTTGTAGGCATTTGTAGTAAGTGCAAACATATATTGTGTTTATGTAAGTGCAAAAATATAAAAAATCAGGGTGGTGGACAATCAATCTCAGTGTGTTTATATAAGTGTAAAAATATTAAATTCTACATATTTATTATATATTTATATTTTTTGCTCGCATATATTTTTATATGATGAATATATGTGCATTATGAAGATGCAGAGTCAGACTTCAACAAGAGGGGTTGTCCCAACTAGAGGTATAAACGAGTAGAGCCAAGTTCGAACCACCCCCCTTGGCTCGAGCTTGAGCCTAATTCTATTAATTTGAGTCAGCTCACGAGCCGGCTAATTTATTATGAAAGAAAGAAGATCATTCCTATTCAAGCAAATATTATAATAACATGATAAAACAAAAAAAAAATGATAAATAATAAAAAATCACACAAAAAAAATAAGTAAGGCATCTATATTTTTTAAATATTTATAAAAACGTTATACTAAAATAATTAAATTTTAATATGATCTAAATGTATTTTATATATGCAGCTCACATTGGTCTATTGATTGAGAGCTATGATTACCAATAAAGAGGTATTTGATTCGAATATTGCGTTATAATGTTACATGATGTGTGTGTGAATTTGCCTTAATTGGCCAAAATGTCCTAAAAATGTATTTTATATTAAAGTTTTCTTGCAGCTCATTAGCTAATGAGCCAAGTCAATGTTGGTTCAAACTTTGCTCGTTAACTCATCGAGCTCACCTCACGAGCCATTTATCCAGTTTAGCCTGATCCAGCATCAAGAATCAACTTGACTCGGTTACACCCCAGCTTGTCGATCCCAACAATCTGATTATGGGCTGTAGAGATAGGCATAGTAGTAAGAGCTAGCCATAATCATCAATTTGTGATCATATGTAACCTAGTTCATAAGGTAGTTGGGTAGTCAATTCTATCTATCAATATTACCTTCTCATCTTACTTGATCAATTTTGGTGAATTAAGCCACCTTAATATTCTTCTTAATTTTTTTAGATTAAAGATGATGATATTATGATGATGATGGAATATGCCAACACCATGCTTCATTGAGATGGTATGTATTTTTATAAGATTCTCATGATCATGCCCTAATCATCATTTCCTTGTGTGTTCTTCTTTCCTCAAACATTAAACATTTGCAAAATACTTCCTCCACATATTATAATAACATAACTTCATTCTAAATCAAACAACATATATATTGCATTAACAAATACCACCACAAGACAAAGCAACATATATAACATATCAATAATCAATACAAAATTCCAATAACCAAACTTCAAACATATAAATCATCAAAATAAACATAAAATCATCCTTCGAGAACAAACCTACTATATATAATAATAAGAACACTTAGGCTCCATTCGGAACAGCTTTCTTAATGCTTTCTAAAATTACTTTTTGGCTAAAAAAATCTTGAATTAGAAAGTTCTGTACTAAAAAAAACTATTTTAAAAGCTATGAAAAAGTTGTCCCTAGGCTTTGTTTTGGACGACTTTTTTATTGCTTCTTAAAACAGTTTTCTAGTATAAAAATTAAAATTTATGTATTATAATGCTGCTTTAAGAAGCATTAAAAAAGTCGTCCCAAACGAAACCTTAGGCTTCGTTTGGGACGGCTTTCTTACTGCTTCTTAAAGCAGCTTTCTAATATAATTTTTTTAATTTTTTAACTAGAAAGCTGCTTTAAGAAACAATAAGAAAGCCGTCCCAAACGAAGCTTTAATCAGCTAATAAAATACGCAAAACCACACTCCATTTGAACCAATCTCATAGGCAGCACAACCACCTAAACTAACCAAAAAAAAAAAAAAATTAAAAACCTTTATAAAAGTAATCTTCCAACCCTCACCAAATAAAACAACCAAATACTTATGTAAACCCCTAAGTGATGACTTCTTTCAAGCTCTAGATCATTAAAGAAAGACCAATTCTAATTCGTTATCTAATATAAAACTAATAAACTTGTCTCCATCATCAGAGCTTGGTAATACCACAAGCAATCCAAGCCAAGAAATTAAGCCTTTGCAAGCATAATTAAGCAAGCCTTAATGATCATTAAAGAGGCTTTTATAACAATAATATTTTTTAATTAAGGATGGTTTAATTAGACTGGAATTCTTAGCGAAGGAGGTTATGTTTGGTCATCCTCCAGCTTCCACGTATTATTTCTCTTCTTCCTCATCTTTTTCTCTTTCATAACTTTCACAACCTACTTCTATCCTCCTGATGTCATTTAAGTAATTATAAATTAAGCACTCGATATTAAAAAAATAAAATAAAATGCTTATTCTTTACAAAAATTGAAAAATATAACTTCTTTAATTTAAACTCTTGATGATAATAATTATGTTTTAATTATGATAATTTAGACCTAATATGTTATTTTTTAAGCCATAAGGACAAACATAGGAAGATGCTAATTAATTTGACCGAATTCAATCGAAATCAATACTCATAATAATAGAATACAATTGTATAAAAGATTTGTTGAGTAAAATTTTTGTTAGAGGAGATATCTACATACATAAGATTCGAAATAATTTTGTTTATATATTTAACATCTAAAACTTATTATTTACACGTATGATGGGTAATGTTTTATTTTTCAAGTAATGTAAAAAAAAAATTACCTTCGTCATCACCCTTATTGTTAAATCTCCGTTAACTTCCCACCCCATGACAAGAAAATGGTTGCAATTTCAATTAATTTTCGTCGTTGAGGTTTTCTCAACCGCACTTGTAATCAATCTGGTCGATGACCTTCTCCCAACAAGATCTTTTCACGACTTATTGTCATCTCTTTATTTTCTATGATTTCAGTGATGCATGCCAACGATTAGGGGTGTCAATATTTAAAACGACACAAAAATCTGACCCGGACCCGACCCGAAAAATCCGGGTTGGATCCGACCCGATTTCAAAATAGGTCAGGTTTGAGACAACCCGCGAACCCGTTTAACTTGAATTGCCAGCGCTACACCGCCTACCCGCGAAGCTGCCCTGCCTGCATGCGCACCGCCGCTGCCCGGACCCTGTCCGCTAAGCTGCCCACGCGAAAAAGCCTGCTAGTGCGCGCTGCCGCGCTTGCCAGTGCTGGCGCCTCGCACCCTTGGCTGCCCATGCGAGCTCACCCACGCTTGCCCGCACACCCACGCTTGCCCGCACACCCGCGCTCGCCGCTCGCCCGCACTCATCCGCGCATTTCGGGTTCCGTGTCAAGTCGATCGGGTCAACCCAGCAACCCGCTGAGTCGAGTCCGGGTTCGGATTTCCAACCCATTTATCTACCTGGGTCGGGTTAGGGTCGACCCGTTTGAACCCAGGTAAGTTCCAGATTCAACCCGAACCCGACTCGTGACCCGAAATTGACACCCATTCCAACGATCATCAATGACATTCCCCAGTAAAATCTCATCATAACTTTATCTCCTCTTCTTTGAGTCAAATCTCCCTGATGCCCTTCCTCAATGAGATAAATCATTCTATGCGGACATCGGACTCCGTCCGGAAGCCAATAAGAATGCGCCACGTTATTTTTTGCTCGGTATCGATGCTGAATACTATTAGGTATCAGATGACATATTACATTCTAATTGACCTTCAAACTGTCTGGTATCCACACACAATAATTTCTCCCTCGATGTGTTAGTCGAAACTTCCTATCATTTTCTTTCAAATCATGAGATGAAATTAAGAATTCAACTTAATAATTTTTTTGGCTCCAAACAGTAACCATCACAAAGTAAAATCACTAAAAAAAAAACCGTTGGCCATAGTCAAATGTAGCCATATCTAACATAGAGCGCAAATCAAATCTACACTAACGGCAAAACCAAAGTGGACCCCACTTAACCCCCCACCTCTATTTCAGCTCACCAAACCGAAATCAAACTCCCCCTTTATAAAACCCAGTAAGAGTAAACCAAAGCTTCTTCATTATTCCCTCCGCCTTCTGACGCCATGGCTTCCTTAAACCAATGGCATCTCTTCCCCGAAACACTTCACGCCGTTGAACTCATCGTCGCCATCTCCATCTTCATCACCATCCATTCCCTCCGGCAGCGCCGCCGCCATGGCCTCCCGTCCTTTCCGCTCATCGGAATGCTCCCTTCCCTCATCCTCGCGCTCCGCCAGAACGTCTACGAATGGATCACAGACATCGTTATCGAACGCGGCGGCACGTTCATCTTCCGCGGACCCGTGCTGACGAGCCTCCATTGCGTTGTGACGGGGGATCCGAGAAATTTGGAGCATTTGCTGAAGGGAAAGTTCTCTAGTTTTCCCAAAGGTCCTTATTTTCAGGCGAATGTGCGTGATCTTTTGGGCGACGGAATTTTCGCGGCGGACGACGAAGTCTGGCGCCGGCAGCGGAAGACGGCGAGCTTGGAGTTCCATTCGGCGGAGTTTCGGGCAATGACGGCGAAGTCACTTGTTGAGCTCGTACATGACCGCCTATTGCGTGTGCTTGATGACGCCGCCGATGACGGCCGAGGAGCCGCCACCGTCTTCGATCTTCAGGTAAGTAAAATCGCCGAGCTTGTAAATAAAAATGATTCTTTTTTCTTTTATTTTAGGAGGCCAAATGTTTAATATATTGTAAAGTTAAGCGGAGCAAATAAAAATGATTTTTTTTGGGACTTTTTGGTTGCCCAAAAAGAAATGCAGTCTATAAAGTAAAAATATTGTATTTTAAATATTTTGAGACTGTTTGATTGTCTGCAAAATAAATGCAGGAGAATTATTTCTCTTATTTGATTAAGTAGATCCAGAGTAAAATAGAAATGATTTTTTTTAATAATTTGAAAGAAATCATGAATAATCATGCAAACATATGTTAGTATTTTCATCAAAAACTCTCACACCGCCATTTTCAATATTTTTTGAATTTGTTTATCTTCAGGACGTGTTGCTCCGCTTGACCTTCGACAACGTCTGCATGATCGCCTTCGGCATCGACCCCGGCTGCCTGAGACCCGGTCTCCCTGTAATACCCTTCGCCGCAGCGTTCGAGGACGCGACGGAGGCCACAATACTGCGCTTCGTCACCCCCACAACAATCTGGAAAACAATGAAGTTTCTCGACATAGGAAACGAGAGAAGACTCAGAAGATCCATAGAAAAAGTAGACGAATTCGCATACGAAGTGATCAAAACCAGAAGGGAGGAGCTGAATGCGAAAACTGGAAGGCTGAGCTCGGACTTATTGACGGTGTTCATGAAGGCGAAGGATGAGGAAGGAGGGGAGAAGTACACGGATGAGTTCTTGAGGGATATTTGTGTGAACTTTATATTGGCCGGGAGGGATACGTCGTCGGTGGCGCTGGCTTGGTTCTTTTGGCTGTTGGAGAAGAATCGAGGGGTGGAGGAGAGGATATTGGAGGAGCTGAGGGGGATAGTGAAGGAGAGAGAGGGGGAGGAAGGCGGTGATGGTGAGGTGGTTTTTCAGCCGGAGGAGGTGAAGAAGATGGAGTATTTGCATGCGGCGTTGTCGGAGGCTCTCCGGCTTTATCCGTCGGTGCCGGTTGACCATAAGGAGGTAAGGAATATTTACCTAATTAATATCTACCTCTTCATATTTAATTATTTAACATTCAAACTTTTCAATTATGCAAAAAATTTACTATTTATATTAAGTCTTTATTCAATTATATGAGGCCGGCAACATAAATCATTTTTTCTCCTTTATTGTCAAATTCTAATTTAAAGATAATAAACAAAATTCATTTCTAATACTTTCGAACTAAATCTTTTTAGGTCTATCTCTATCTCTACCATTTTTAATATAGACCGTATTTAATACATCTACTCTTCTAATGAGGTCATCGATAGGAGAAATTATTCTGTGCCGATACGGAACGGAGAGAACCGTTCAGATTTGTTGCGCTTTTAATATTCTTTTACTGTGATTTTGCAAAATGGCAGTAAAATGGCCACAAATATTTAATATTTATTAAATAATTGAATATTTGTTGCGCTTTTGCTACGCTTTTACAAAATGACAATAAAAACACATTCATAATTAAATATTTATTGCACTTTTTCTGCCCTTTTGTAAATAAGCAACAAAAACGCAACAAATCTGAACAGTTCTCTATGTCCAGTATCCGTGCATAATAATTTCTCTATCGGAAGGCCAATATTTTATGTGATTAGACCATCTAAAGCGGCTTTCTCTTATCTTATTTCCCATATTACTCTACATATTATTAAAATGATATATGAAGAAATATAAATATTTTAAAATAAAAAATATGATAATTATGCTATATGGACGTAAACCACTCTATATTCTATTAATTTTATTACTATAACATAATTTATTTATATACTTTTTAAATCTTACATATAAGATTACTCATTTTGGAATCAACCGAGAGATTTTGGATTAGAGCTTTTTGCATATAATTGTGTGCATAAATTTATTTTAATTGGTCTAAATGTCCAAAAAGGGCTTACATATAATTTAGGAAGGTTTGGTTGTTGATGAATACCGAAAGATTAGGAAAACATTGATTATCATTCATTCTTAATATTGGACCAAAATTAGTTGTATTGAAAATATAAGCTACATTTACCGAGTTGTTATAAATGTTATTTATTACGCTACAAATTAATTAAGGGGTTAATATTCTGTTCTTTTTTTTTATAAGATTTTACTTTACTAAAACAGAAAAAAAAAATCTTTTAAATAATTATTTTCTAGTTAAAAAATAAAATTTCAGACAACACTTGAAATGAAATCCTTCTTTAACTTTTTTTTTTTTTTTGGGGAAAAATCTTCAAAAAACTGAAAAAATAAGTAACACGCGGATCTCTTTTTTAATCAATTTTGTTTTATATTTTTTTATTTCAGTTATGCATAATTTGTAAGACCTCGTTATCAGTAGATTATTTGGTTCAGACACCGAACACGACTTATCGTTTGGTACTTCACAGTATCAAACAGTACTAAGCTCGGTACTGAGCAATATCAAGCTCAGTGCTGCTTGGTACTAGCAGTACTCAGTAACGAGTAGGGAGTGATGAGACGCATTTTCATTGGACTCCGGATGTTGTTCGGTGTCCGAACCTAATAATTTCCCCTCATTATCTGGATCAAGAAAAAAAATGTTTTACCAAAAAAAAATATTTAATTTAAAATTTTTTAGATATTTTCCCTCCAAAATACATAAATCTTTAATTTTTTTAGATATTGCCCTACAAATTTAGAGTAAGATATAACAACAAAAATATAAAAGAAAAAAAATGAAACAGGATATCCTAATTTAAATTTAATCATAATTCATTTTCAAACTTTTAATTTTATTTTAAGATGAATTTAATAATTAATTATTAATTATAAATTACAATTATTAAAACACATTTCATCCTTTTTTTTTTAAATCTTCCTATTACAAACTCTAAACAAAACAAGAAGATTTCAATATTTATCCAGAAATAACTGAAGCAATTCTCATGAACAGGTTATTGAAGATGAGGTCTTCCCTGATGGGACTGTGCTGAAGAAAGGAACAAAGCTAATCTATGCAATCTACAGCATGGGAAGAATGGAGAGCATATGGGGAAAGGACTGCAGGGAGTATAAACCAGAGAGATGGCTTAAAGACGGCCGGTTTGTAAGCGAGTCGGCGTACAAGTTCTCCGCCTTCAACGGCGGCCCGAGACTCTGCCTCGGCAAGGATTTCGCATACTATCAGATGAAGTTCGTCGCGGCCAACATATTGCTTCGATATCAGGTCAGTGTGGTTAAAGGTCATCCGGTCGAGCCTAAAATGGCGCTCACAATGTACATGAAGTATGGGTTGAAGGTGACACTACGAAGGAGAGAATGATCAGTCAGTATTATCAGGTGATGGAAATAAGCAAGGAGCAAAGGAGGGTTGTTTGAACAACTTGTTCTAGATTAGTACAAATATCTGTTGTTTGATAGGAGAAAGTTTGTGGGAGGGCAAGTCAAGGTGTGAATTCTTGATTTTCTTTTGTTCTATTATATTTTTTTTTCTTATACATGTTTATGTTTTACCAGTCAAGATTTCCATTACATTGGCTGGGTATGTAAGATATTGTGCTGTGGAATATAATTATATTTGTTATTAAGTGTCTTACATTCATCAACTAAGGTTTTGTTTGGGACGATTTTCTTTCTGCTTCTTAAAGAAGTTTTTTAGCATAAAAATTTTAAGTTTTTACTAGAAAGCTGCTTTATGAAACAGAAAGAAAGTCATACCAAACGAAGCTTAAGAATTTTACAGTTGAGAGAATTCAGAGTAGAATCTGGAAAATGTTAATGTCATTGCATTTCTTCAGAAAAGAATATAGCAATATTTGATTCAAAACTGTTTGCTCGGCAAGAAATACTAAAAATCATCTTTTGTTGAACGGGTGTAGCAGACATCATAACATGAATAAATACCTGGTTGCATCACCAAAGGAAAGAAAGCTCAAGTTCTGCCATTCCATTCTTCATAGAACTCCTCTATGAAGTCCACCATAAAGATGTGCCTCTTCTCAGCCCTCTTTCTCCCAGCCTAAAGATTTAGTTTGTGCCAAAAGCGAATTAGACGCAATAAATTGATAAATAAATTAAAAAAAAAAAAAGAGATCCAGCAGTATGACAATTGAAAATCTAGTAGAAAAAAGTAAATGTACAAGCGCATTGAAATGAATTATTTGGTCTGGGGCATAAAAAATGTCGGCAATATAGTCTTCTGAATATTGACATCCATCTCTTTGAAGAGAGTTTGGGTTGGGGAATAATATTTTGGAAGGAATATTAAATTATAAATAAAACACTACTCAGATATTTCATACTCATTTTGTGAAGGTATTATGATCTCATTCTAGATTTTCATAATTAATTACACCTCTAGATCACAAAAAAGAGCTTTCAATTAAAGAAAGTTGATAGGCGCTAAATCCTTAACTTTTAGTAGTAGAGATTTGATTTTATGATAGAGAAAATATACAGCCTTTAATTTAGAGTGGACGGTGGAGGAATTATAATGAACCTAATAGTTCAAAGGGATAGCCGACTCAATCAGCAGAGATAGCCGACATGACCCAACCAAAATATCCTTATCAACAGCCATTGGTTGTATCGTCCAAAGGGATCTTGCAGAGCAATGATGGATGTTTGTTTAAGGGAACAATTTTAAGTCAACCTTAGCTGACAAAAGTCTTCACATACTATCAAATGTACATTATGATTCACAACTCAAGAGGTAGAGCACCATTGGGAAATATCTGGGCTTTGGCATTGACCATAATTTATTGATACCATTTTGTGGGGAAAACACCGAATCAGGGAATGTTGATCATAGGTATTATTTGGTAGAGTAATTCAGCAATAAAATCATCCAATTAAAAGACATTTGTCACATCCTTATTGGCATGAGATCTTTGAAGAGTGAACATAAAGATACGATTCATATGACACTATGTATGAGTTGAGATTAATCTTAAATTTGTAATTATGTGGATAAGAAGTTAGATGAATGAAAAGAGCAGGTATAAAATCTTCATATGATCTATAAAAATGTTGATAATAACGTCTATGTAAATCAAAATTTTGATCCCATAATTCATCCAAATCAATCCATGAGATATCCGAGATGACCTATTATAATATGATGATTAGGTAAAACTATATACATCAATATTGCTATTTCTAGAAGATGAGTGAAATTATTAATCTACCAAAGTTTCAAATACAAATCATTGTAAACACAATATTGATAAGAAAAAGATCTATCATATTTTGTATAATCATGGAGCAAATTAAAATAATAATCATAATAATTTTGAGATTTCTTATGCTTATAATATTTTTTACCTTGAATCCAAATTAAATTTGGGGAATTATGTGCTCATACAGTTAAGTTTAAATGGGCCAAGTAAATTTTCCAAGCAAAAAATTAATATCATTCGCCGTTATTTTAAAGATCCTACGATAAATCAGGAAGTAATTCATAAGTCTTAAGGCCAAGGTTAGGATTAATGTCAGATTTACGGTCGGGCTAGTTTTAAATTTTTAATGCAATTTTTTAAAGGAAAATGCATGGGCAGTACGTTAGGTGGGGCTGGCTAGGAAGGTAAGGTAGGGATAGGGGTTACAGGGTGGTCAGTGCTTAATGCAAAGACCTTCAAGAAACTCACCTTTGATATCAAATTGGAGTAGAAAAGCTATCACTCTTAATGTTATTTTTCAAAAGCTCTTGATAATGAGCAACTTGATTTATTTTTCTTTCTTCCCTTTGAAATTCTTCGATTTCTTGCCTATTTTTATTCTAGTCAACCATTTAGATGTGAACAAATTGAGTATAGACGTAATTTAAAGAGAAAGTGAGAGAAAAGGGGAGGATAATTACAACTGTTGATGGGAAGTTATAACTTCATAGAATAAATAAAGAGAGAACCTTGATAAATATGGCTTCCTGTAAAAAGAGAGAGAATCATATGTTGGGTGTGGTGAGTCTGTAGGAGATAGGAGAGAGGAATAACAGGAATGCTGATTCAAGTTCACTTTGTGATTGGATAATCAAACTACAAGCACTAAAGTCTCACATAATAGAAATTGGGTAACAAGATATAATTAAATTAATTTAAATTTTAAATTTAGATAAAAACTAAAAATTCTATAAAAGTAAAATAAAAATCTAAAAGATAATAGAACATAATAATAATAATAATTACAAGGCAAATAGAAATATTAAATGAACAGCATTGATTATCACATACCTCAGTCTTCATCATATCCTTTAGTTTGAAAAGCTTCTCATGGAAATGATTGATGGTGGTCTGATTCTCACTTTTGTTAATATAATTTTCCTTCGATAAATTCTGTCGAGGGGGTATTTTAGGATCATGCAGAATCCGGTTCTTACTTCCACCATAAGTAAAACATCGTGCAATTCCTACAAGTGTAGAGAAAATATTGCACCTTCTTTATTTTCAGCAGAAAAATCATATGCTTCAAAAAAGGCATCCAAAAATTAATTTTAATCGGGTACCATAGGGACATTAGAACAACAAAAGTTATTCAAGATATTTGATTGAAGATCTATATGCAACTAATTTTAATGAAATAAAGGCAACAAAAGCTTTGATCAGGATGGAAATTAAATAAGAAGAGGTTATAAAATCTTTGAATAGGATAGAGAACAAATAAAGCTTAATTAAGCCTATTTTATTTATCAACAATATAATTAACTTGCGCGATCATAACTAGACATAGCCCTCCAAAAAAAAGTCTAACAGCCTTCAACAATAGTTGAAGAGAAAAATACAGTAGTGAAACTAAAGCCTCCACATTCTCTGATAATGTCACATGGCAGATGAAACTTTTTTTGTGGCATCAAATCTAAAGCATAAATTCAAATAATTGGAAGCGATCTTATTACAAGTTAGAAACAATATAAAGCCAGAATAAATTCTTAGGGTATTCCGTCCATAGTGTTTTCTCATCTTCCATATGCACACGGTCAAAGAAATAGTAAAGTATGCCCAAAGGAATGCTTATGCATTAAAATGTTTGGTTGCTAGAATCAATAAACAAATTCAAAAGCTTAAGAAAAGGCCCCAAACGAGCCTTTTCTAGGAAATATGAGGGCTTCAGAAGTCAAAATTGAATTCAAAATATTATGTTGGTGTCAGTTAAAGAAGGGTGTGCGGGACCTGCACTTTTGCAAGTGTCTCTATCATTTTAGGGCTTACAAAAAAACTTTTTGGGGAATGAAGGGGAATGCCATTCCCTTCCTCTCCCACCCTTCTCTCTGCTCTAGACGCCAATTTTCCTTCCATCCAAATTTTAGTGCAAGGGTATTTCACACCACAAGCCTTTCTTTGCGTGTTGTATATTTGATGGCAAAATTGCAGCTAACAAATTCATCTTAGGACCCCTTTGGAGTATTTTGTATTTGGGCTTTTGAAGAGATGGCAACAAGTTGCGGGAAAGAAGACAGGAATTGCAATTGCGTGCAGTTTTTTCATCATGTAATGTACAATTTCTTTTCTTGTTCAAGAGACAAATAAAGGATATATGATTTTTTTCTAGGAATCACCGATCATGGATCTACATATTTTGCTTTGAGCAAAAGAAATCCTTCAATGATGTCGGCAAAAAAAGAACTTATTTTCGGCAATAGAATCACTTATTAAGGAATACCTTCATTTTGTTAGCCTAAAAAATCAAAGAAGGGCCATAAACTTCCCATGAGTTCTCAATTTTTTAGATGTTTTAGATGGGAAGACTACACTTACCTTTATTTTACCATCAAAGTTTATTAAGTTTTTCTAGCATGTGATGTTCCTTTAGAGCAGTAGTCGTACAAGATAATCTACATCATTATCAAATTATTGCTTTCTTTCATGAGCAATAATCAAGATACACAATTCCAATATTTTGACAATGGTATAAACTCACATATGATTTCAATATAAGAGTCCCACCATAATAATAAGAAATGGATTAAGTTTACTAATAAATAATAAGACAATGCCAAGATGTTGAGCTAAGTGTTCATTCTTTGTTAAAATGAAGGACTTTCCCAAGGAATGAAGCACCCAATATTGTTGATGCCTATAGATAGTGATGAGAATAACATGGTAGCATGCCCGAGATACATTGATTCCTGAGCAACAGCCTTATTTACAATCAACCAATTCATGATTAAAACGCAGCTGCTTAAAGTGGTCTCTCCTCTTATGAGTAAAGAATGTTCAGGTTCACCCTTTGAGAAAAAAGAAGAAATAGTAAATGCTTCAGATCATACCAACTTGGATCTAAGAATACGAAAGAGTGGCGAGGTTCAACTGAACTAGAAGCTTGAGAGGGGACCATCACAAGTTTGGAAGAAAATGAGGAAGTCAACTAGTCTTAAATAACCATTTTCCAAGAAGAATGCTTGAATATGCAAAATGATCAAAGGGAAGGTCAAAATTAACTCAAGTCTGTTGCACATTTTGATGAAAATGGGATAACATGGTTGTTATTATCATTGTATGGTTGTCATCATAGTTTGGATTGTTGAATTATAGTGAATGCTTTAGTAGAGAAGATGATGGAATCCATCTAAAAATTTGAGCCTTTGATTCCGGACATCAAAATAATGTATGCCCCCTAAGAAAAGTGGAACCGATCCAATTTAATCATTAAGAATCTCTATAGGGTTGGAATTCTCCTAGTATAGCGTATCTTTCTATTTAGTCGGATCCTTTTAATTCAAATATCTTATTAATTTTTTGTTTTGATGGTGTTGGGTAAGGCCACTTCTGTGAATTAAATCTTGAATCTCCAAAATAGATGTAAACCCTATACTTACATCAAATTCCCTATTAGTGGACAGCACATTGGTGAGCCCCTCTTGGAGAAATATGCCAATGAGAGCCCCATAAAATCCTAAATGCTCTATAGGCCAAGAACCTACAAGTCTATTATGTTGTTCAACTCATAATAAGAGTGAAAATGATTATGATTCAATGAATTATTATAATAAAATGATAAAAAAGAGTGAGAAATTACTGATTATAAGAAAATTAATAAAAATATCACTTCGCATAAAAAAATGAGATAATTTTTAAACATTTTTAACAATTTTGTATTTAAAATTCGGAATGCCAATATATTTTAAGTGCAATTTATATTAAGATTTTTAAAAGAGATTTTTTCGCGAGCTAACAAATCAAGACATAACTAGCTCAAGCTTAGCTCATTAGCTCGGCTCAGGAGCCATTTATTAAGCTGAGCCTGAGCTAGCTCAAGAGTTGGCATGAATCACTCACACCCCTACTAGCTTCCCACGCGACCAAAGAAATAGGTGAGTTTTTTCTAGAAGAAAGTTTCCATAAAAGCGAACTTGAAGGCCAACGGAAGGAGTGAAGGAAACTCAACCGTCATAATAGTAATCATTTTGGGCCTACGATTGATCGGATGATTAAGACACATCATCTCTATGATGTGAGTTTGACTAATTTAACTCCATAGGTAATAGACGAAAAAATGAAATTGTAAGGCATTTGAATAAGGTCATTAGATAATAGATACTAGGGGTGCAAACGAGTCGAGTCGAGCTCGAGCTAGGGGGTGTTCGAGCCGAGCTCAACTGTCAAATATCGAGCTCGAGCTCGAGTCAAGCTCAAAAGTCGAGCTCGAGCTCGACTCGTTCCATTATAATCGAGTTCGAGCCGCTCGTAGAGCAGCTCGTCTAACCTTCTGCACAGTCCGAACTCCGGTTCATCAAGTTCAACTATTCAAGTGTAGCGTGGCATTTTAAAACGAGAGAGAGAAAGAGAGAGATGGCACGACTTTTTAAAACGAGAGAAAGAGAGAGAGAGGCACAGCTTTTTTAAAAGAGAGAGATAGCAGAATTACTAAATGCATTTATTATTCAGCTTTTACATCATCATTTATTATTATTTAGCTGTTTGTTTTCCCAAAAAAATGTCAGCTGTTCAAAGCTGTAACAGCTGTTTATATCATGAGAGAGAAGAGAAAGAGAGAGGCACGCCGGAAAAAAATTTGGATGAGCTGATAATTTTGAAATACAGAGTTAAATAACATTTAATATTATTTTTTTTTAATTTTATATTTAATAATTATTTGAGCCGGCTCGCGATCTCACGAGTCAAGCCGGCTCAAGCTCGAACTCGAGCTCGAGCTCGACTCGTGAGCTCGATAAGCTCGGGTCGCGAGCCCATAAACGAGTCGAGCCCGAGCCGGCTCGGCTCACTTGCACCCCTATTAGATACACGTTGTTTGTTTTGAGATTGGTGTTGGAAATTAGCCAAGTTAGATTATCATATTTTAGTTAGAGCCACAAGATTATTGTTGATTCCCTTAGACTTGATTGAAGGGAAATTACGAATCTTGAGGTGACTCAATGGTGTAGATTCAGGACCATTATACAAAGATCATAGACTCACATATCTTAATGCCCTTGAAAAGACAACAAAATAGCCATAGCAAAAGAATGGATACAAACAAATATTCAAAGAAAGGTGACAAAAGACGGATCATCTTCCATCTTTCAGTGCAAAGAAAATTAATAAAGAATGTTTGAATGCTAACCAAAAATATATTTTGCTAAATATATACTACACCTGTTTGTTAAAGAGTAAATGCTATATAAGATGTAGCTCATGTGATAGTTAAGACATCTATTTGCCCTAGTATGCAATGATGAAATTTTTTTTAATTGATGTCACTAATTCATGGATGCCAAAAAATTCTTATTGACACATAATCGTGCTTTAAATTAGCTTGTGTGAAGTCTAAGGGTTCTTGAGTAGTTATTCTTGAAGTTACATAAAATAGAATAAATTAAAAATGTGAGCAGAATTTGAATCAAAGAAGCAAATCTATAAATTTGCATCATTAAAAGAAGCTAAAACCAGAGTTTTTTTTTTTGCCTAATAACTATGTGGGAAAATTAAAAGCTCAAAATAATGCAATTTATTTATGCATACGAAAATCAAGACACAAGTTTATAAACTGTTAGACTGGTCCAACCGGTCCTATGGGACCGGCCAGTGCAAAACAGACAGAGAAGTTTAGCCTCCTATATGCTCGATCCGACCGCCCAGGTCTGACAGAGCTGCTAAGGAAGGTTTTTGAAGAAAGTTAGGAAGGAAATTTCAAAGAAGGAGCTGTTTAGATATTTCCTTTTGGATTGTATGCATTAAATAGTTTGTTTTCCTAGGATTAGGGAATCTTGAATTTGGTTGAAATTTGAGATCTCTTAGGTTTTTGGGCTCTACCGGCGTCTAGAGATTTGGGAGAGATAGATCCTCCTCTCGAATAGAGGATCAATTGTATCTTGGTATTTTCCATTTCTATTTCATCAAATACTACAAATTATCTATAGTTTTCCTGATTTTGTGTGGATTGTTGTGGAGAATTCTAGTTGTTTTCCAAAGATTGCTGGGAAATTTTTGAGATCTTCAAGTGTTTTCCTATCATAAACTCATTATATTAAGATAACTAATGTTGCACTCACACACAACAAGGCTTCTCTTAGAAATATCATAACATAACGCTAATATATGGTTAAAAAAAGATATTGAAAATAACAAATCCGATCACATCAATACAGCATGGTGCAAGCAATATGTAACAACAATCTCTTAGTAATAAAACCGAAAAAAATTGTATCAAGCAACTAAAGAAAAAAGATTTGTTCATCATAGGGAAAAGTTGATGTATTCACCAATAGCACCAATAGCATCTAAACGGTCTGCATCTTGTACAACACCAAATTCAAGAGAAGAGTCGCCACATAATATTTGTGCGACTTCATTTTTAAAACCTGAAAAACATATAAAATACATTACATATTATATCATTTATCATTTATTAGATATGAAGTACTATTTTTGAAAAACAGTCAATACTTTAATAACTTCTTGTAGAGCAAAGAATAATAGATTATAAAATAGGGGATAATGCATATATTTTAGTAAAGATTACTAATGGATCTTAATAAAGAACTAAATGACAATATAAACTTAGAATACAATTCCGTCTAGCAAAGTATATTTCTATTTGCATAAAAAATGACCAACAATAAAGAAGTATGAGGAAAAAAATCATGATTTAGGATACCTAAAAATTTGAGAAGTGTTTTATTCTTATATGGTTGCCAAAAGGTGAAAAAAATAATATACATGTAGTTGAATAGTTATAAATCTTGAAGCAACTCCAAATTTTTGGTGAGAAAATAAATAAAAAATAATTGAACATAATTAGATATTTAATTCATTTGCAACAATAAAAGAGTACGAAAAAATGAGTGCATGCAGGCAAGGGTACGAGGAAGACACTAGAAAAAAATAAGATAAGAGAATTTCCTCGTTGGAATCAGCTACATCCACAACTGCACAAAAAGATACATGTTTGGCTGTTTGCTAGTCTAGAGATAATTAGAATATACAATAGTTGTACACAAGCATTCCTTCTTCAGTGTCATTAGATTTTTCTTCTCTCTATCTATATCTAATATTCTCTTATTATCCAGTAGACAAACATCCAAGAATAAAGCCAATTTGTATGTATGTATGTATGATGTGTGTGTGTATAGATAGCAAAAAATACTCCAACTTATTAACTACCTCCTCTCCCAAATCATTATAGCAGTAGTTGTCCCTTTGCACTGTTCAATATTTACACCTCCAATCACAACATCTCCAATCGCCATAATGCTCGCCAAGGATTAAATACCTGCCTTGAACTTGCTACGAATTTGTAGCATTGGCAACTATCTTGTCATGTCTTCTTCAACCACTGAACTGAATTGTCAATTGTTAATGCCCAACCCACACAAGCAAAACAACCTCCAATTGCTCTCTCAAATAAGACACCAATCCCAAAGCTTCACTCAGAAAGATCTTCCACCATCAGGTTAGTCCAAAAAGCAATACGAAACTGTGAGGAAGTCGTGCCTATGATTGACTTCTGCCCATGCTTTTACAAGGCGTTGTCAATGATGGAATAGCATGGAATTAAGAAAAATAATAATCATTGATATTATGTAATTTGATTAAATCTAAGGATTCGAGATTTGATCACATGTAAGAGGCTAAGAGCTAATAAATTTCTAAGAAAATCATAGACTTTAAGAAGAAATTTTTCTTCACATCAAATCAACAATCCCCCACTTTATGATTAATTTTGTATATGCCAACCCAATAGTGGTCATCTTTATGCACCACCCCATCCTAATCAAGCAGCCATATGAGTTAATAGAGGGCCCAAGTATCCCATCCATTAAGGGTAAAGTTGTCAGCCTTTAACCACAATATTTTCCTTATTACCTTGCCACTCCTTGATCCTAACACAGCTTGCTTTTTAACACCTTCCTAGCCTTTAAAAACTCCAACCTAACATGGCCTTGCTACTCTAGTATATAATGTCATTTGTCATGTGCATGATATCATCTTTACTTCCCCATTCTATCACCATAACGTCATTCATCACATTGCAATAATCAATAAAGGTCAAATTTTAACCTTCTTCATCTAGCTACCCAAAAAAGAACAAGCTTCTCTTCAAGACAAGTGTGACAACTTCCACATAGTCACCCAATCGATTGACTTGCACATCACTGAGACCTTCTATGCTCAAGGTTTCATCATCAACAAGATGAACCATCATAAAATCTCCAATAGAATAATTAAACAAAAAAGATTTTATACAGGGTGCAATGAAAAAACGTGCTTGAGTCAAGGATCCAAGACTTTTTAGGACCATCAGTACTGAGAAACAATAAAATATCTTCTCATGTGGTCAGTACGTTCACTGTGAACCTTTGTTTGGCTCATCTGCTATGATTTGGATTTGTCTTTGCTTCGATCATTGCTTTTATTTTGAGACATGCTCCTATTATCCACATATAAAGCTAAAGATAAAGGGATTCCACCTTTCATATGTTGTCAAATGTCTTCACCGAGGATGAGTCAATGACATCATTGAGTTTTAATGTGATTGATCCATATGAGTCGATATTGTTGTTGCAAAACCGTCCCAACTTTTAGTTAACGATGAAAGGTGAAATCAAACTAAGGCACGGATTTTATAATTGAAGTTGATATTCAAGTAACATAATTGACTTATAACAGAGTTAAATTGATTAATGTACTCAATATCACAAGCTTCTTCAAAACATCTTGAGACTAAGTAACTTGTGCATAAAATATACCTTCTTAACGTGAGACAATAATAAGATATAATACTTGCATATCCCAAATATTTCCTTTATCATCTCATAAGATTATTCCTTTGACCTCTCTTTTACATTTTTCTCTCCTATCATCCAATAGATAAACCTCCAAGAATAAAACAATCACTTTTTTTACAATTACAAGCTTGAACACTGCAGCAACTCTACTTTAGCTTAGTTGCAAACCCAACATTGACCTTCATGAATTGGATGCTGAAGCCCTCAAAGCCATCGACCATGACCTCTACCGACAACTACCTCCGATTTCAGACTCTTCGACAATCCTTGATCTTGCCAAGAATTTGCAGCATTGGCTACTATCTCATAGTTTTCTTCTTAAGCCACTAGGGCTCCTAAATCATCAATCGACGGCGCCCACACAAGCAGAGAAACCTCCTATTACTCTCCCAAACAAGACACGCCAATCTCAAAGCTTCGCCTGAGAGAGCTCCAACTACCTAGCTAGTCCAATGAGCAAATAAAAGCCCAAGCGATGGTTATGATAAAGATTGATCTGTGTGCTTTCTTTTATAAGGTAATATCAAGGTTGCAATAGCATGGAATTGGAAACGGCAAACATGGAGATTCTGCCAAGTGATTTAATAAGTATTTTAGATTTGATCACATTCAAGAGGAAACAAATTTTATCTATGACATTTTTTTCAGTAACTATACATAAGCAAGCTGTAATGCTAGAAAAAATGTTTAAATCTGTTTGAAATTCAATGCAAAGGGAGTTACAAAGAAAAAAATTGGAAAAGTTGCCTTAGGCAGCATATAGTATTGCAAACATGGAATGCTTGCTTTCTGAAAACTAAATAGCATGCGTCAAGATTGACTAAGGGTTGTTTTGGGGAAGCTAGTTCACATCTTTATTCCTCATATAGCAAAGATCCAAAGAAAGTTCTATTTGGTTATAACTTCCTTGTTTCTTTCAAAAAAAATTATGGTGAGAAGCTACTTTTTTATAACTATATTTATTAAAATATGGCAGCTTTAAGAAAACTTATCCTTTTTTTCAAAAAGGAAAAATTCTATACCCACAAAAGCTTTCAAAAGATCTATTTTTCCCACAACAATTCTATATCTACTTTTAAAAGAAATCAAAACTACCCCAAACATAAACTAAATTTTATTTAAATTAAATAATAGTCAAACGATATGGTCCAAAAATGTGTATATAACTCATAATCCAAAAAATCAAGCTCAATGCTATAAAAAAACATAATATTTAGTTCATATCCTTAAATAAATTAACTCATACATTAAACTATGGCTGCATTTGAGGTAACTTTTTCATAGCTTTGGTTTCAAGACGATTTCAAAACTTCTATTTCGTCACAGCTATCTTGTTTCTTAGAATTTTTTGTGGTGAAATCTACTTCCTACAACCATATATATTAGTGTAGTAGCGGTAATAAAATTGATGCCTATTTTTTCAAAAAAAAAAAAAATTATAATATCAACAATAGCTTTAAAAAAATTGCTTTTTAATATGAAAAAACCTAACTACTTTAATCCAACAAAGCTTAATGAAAAAAAAACTATATGTTCAGCTCTATCTTGACATAAACTTATTAAAAGTTATCAAAAGTAGTCGAGATTTGTATCATGTAAACATACTTAAGCAAACACTTTTGCTGATTTACTCATTATATTGAAATAGCTATACCCTGTAACATCACAAAGATAATGCTGCATATTTCTATGAATTGATTTATTTCATAATTTAGAATAATACTAGTTCTTTATGAATATGCCAATTATCATTCAAAAACAATCCAATCCATACAACTAAAAACTATAAACGAGAATCAAAATTCAAAACTAAAGAACCATAAACTATAATTGCAGTCTTCCAAAATTAATCAAAAGGTCTAAATAACCAGACTAAATTTTTTACAAATTTAAAATATAAAATAATTACCCATTCCTTTTATGATGCCTAGTATCTTATGCCTTTTGCTCTCTTCCAATCCTTCCTCATTAAGGAAATTCTCTACTATTGATGTGTCCTCAACCAAGTCCCTATACCAAATACCAGAAGCATTAACAAGACAAAAAAAGGGAAAATAAAGAGAATTCAACTTCCAAACATAAACATCGATGAAAAACCTTTAGAAAAGATATTACAGTAAAATCAATCTCTCATTTTTTTTTTTCAACACAAGTATATCAAAAGCAAAGAAAAACAAGGAGTAAGAAAACCTACTTGCTATATTTGTAATCCCCTGCAAAAATTTTGAAAACACACCAGTTTAGAAAAAAAAAACAAATATCCAAAACAAGGAAAGAGTGGACGAGAAAAACTCCTCCCAAGTCATAAAGCAGGAGCTCGAAAATTTACCAATATCGTGAAGTAGAGCAGCAATTTCCACCTAGCAAACACCATAAACGTTAGGGAATTAGCTTTCTCCACCTAACAACATAGAAGCATTTTATAGAGCTGTGATAGCAATCTTTCATTTATTTCAACGATTTTGACTTTCACATCGAGCAAACAAATTAATTTAGAAGGTAAAGCATCCAAATACGAATTACGGGGTTTACGGGATTCACAAATCCCGTTTATCAGGATTTATGCTAAATCCTGCTCAATTTCCACATAGAAAACACCATAAACATCAGATAATTAGTTTAATCCACCTAACAAGAAACAACATAGAAACATTTTATAGAGCAGTGATATCAATCTTTCATTCTTTCAACGATTCTGACTTTGACATCGAGCAAACAAATTAATTTAAAAGGTAAAGTATCCAAATACAGATTACGGAATTTACGGGATTCTGAAATCCCATTTTGCAGAATTTATGCTAAATCCTGGTCAAATCCTGCATAAATCCCGTTGCCAAACAGCCCCGAAAACTAAATTAATCGACACCAACTACTACCTATCTCCTTAATTAACCAATGCACAGCAATAAAGTATTTATTATTAAAGGAAGGATAAAGATACTCACTATTTCCAAACTGTGATTGTCCAAACCCTCCTCCATAGCAAGCGAGAGGGCGAGGTCCCGAACCCTAAAGGCATGGGCCGCATCGTGAGAAGCGTCGCGGCCCGCCATTGTTGACTCCACAAGCTTTTCCGCCATCTGGAGTGTTCGCCTCTGCCTCTCCTCCATGTCCCTCGCCGTCACTCCCATGACCGAGCCGCCCGGCGCCGCTTCTTGCACTGGAACGATCTAGCCTGATGCTGGAGCTGGTCAACATCTCGGATTGGCTTATAAGAGCCAAATTATTCAGACATCTTCATTTTTTTTTCTTTTCAGACATCTTCATCTAAACAAAGATTATTATTTTTTTATATTCTAAATCACTATTAATTATATTGATTAATTTTTATTGGGATTGTTAACCAAAGTTATATGGTTTCATCTATTAAACATTTGTATAAAAATCTTATAATTTATTACGAATAGAGAAATCTAATGAGAATCGAAGTTAGATTCATTAATATGGTTGATTGTCAAAATGGGTCAGCGGATTGGGTTTGTGTCAAATTCGAGTAGACCAGGATCTAAATGAGTCAACCCGAATCGGATGATTTAATAAACGGGTCTAGATTTTCAACCCGAACCTGACCTGCATGGGCTACGAACTGACCCAACCAGACCCACGAAAACTGATGTGAAGCGACGCCTACGTCGGGTCGAACCCTTGCGGTCTAGCATGGTTGAGCGAACAAGCGTTGTAGAGCGGTCTGAACAACCCAAACCCGACTCAATTTAATAAACGGGTTGAAAACTCGAATTCAAATCCGACCGATAATACAAACGGGTTGACTTGAACCCAAAATTTTTGGGTCAATTTTTTAGTCGGGCGGGTCATATTTTGGAACTTTTATTTGGTCCGGTGAACGGTCATAGAGCTACGTTCGGCCGGCGCTGAGATCGCGCCACGTAGCAGGCACAAAATCGCGGACCCGACCCGGTGAATAGTGGGTATATCGCACGTGCGTTTTTTTAAATCCATGACAACCCGGTATTGCTAGGTATTTGTCGATTTTGCTCGGCAATAACGAGAAATACCATTATGTGAAGGCAAATACCGAGTTTTTCTAGAAAAACTTAGTATTACTCGGTATTGCTTGATATTGGTCTTCACATAGCTGTATTTCTCGTTATTGTCAAGCAATACCGAGCATATACCAAGTAATACCTAGCAATACGCGAACATAGCATTCCCGGGTTCCGGTCCAGGTCAAGTCGTCGGGCCGCGCAGTAAAGAGTAAGAGCACGTGGCGCAATCTCAGTGGTGACCGGACGTAGAGCGTAGAGCTACGTCCGGTCACCGGACCTAATAATTATTCTATATTTTGACACCCCTATTGAAACTAACTTTGCTGATCATAAATCTATTTAATGATCATATTTAGGGAGATCAAATTAGAACCGCTGAGTATGAATTAAGAAAAAATATTGATCAGGCGATGTTAAGTTTCTGATCAAATAAGAGTAAATATAAGGAATCGAAAGTTTTGCCAAACTAATATAGTTTCATCAAATAGTCATTATGAATTTAACTTCGCAAAGCCAAATCTATTTTTTAAAGATTATCTCTATTTTTAATTATACACTCCATGTATTAGAAGTCTTGAAGAAATAATTATTTGGATTTTGTTTGGAATAGCTTTCTACTTCAGTTTTTTAGTATAAAATTTTATTGAAAATTACAAAAAAATAATAGTCAAAAGCTGTCTCAAATGAAATCCCAAGCTTATTTAGAATAGCTTTCCTGCTGCTTTTTAAGCAGTTTTGTGGTACAAAATTTATAGTTAAAAAAATTATACAAAAAATTATTTTACAAAACAGTAAAAAAAGGTGTCTCAAATGAGGGAAAATTTTCTGTGCGAAGGCCGAATGCAGAACGTCGTCCGGAGACCAATCAGAATGCATCACGTCAGCGGTAACTAGCAGTACTAAGCCACGGTATTGACGAGCAAAGAGGTGATGTGGAGCATTCTGGTTGGTCTTCAGACGTCGTTCGGCATCCGCACAGAATAATTAATCCTCAAATGAAGCCTTAATTTGTTCACCCTCATATTTGAGAAGAGTGTGTAAAAAAAAAATGCTACTTTATTCATCCATTATAATTTTTTTCATCCAAAAAACATTACATAAAGTGATCAATGGCGATAAGCAGATTGCTAATTCAAAATATTGAGTGATT